CCGCCGCCCTCCCGAGCGAGTCCCGCATTCCTCCCGCTGCCCCGCCGGCTCCCGCAGCCCTCCCGAGCGAGTCCCGCATTCCTCCCGCTGCCCCGCCGGCTCCCGCAGCCCTCCCGAGCGAGTCCCGCATTCCTCCCGCTGCCCCGGAGGAGCGGCTCCTCCGCGGGCAGACGCGGTGTGCCGGCCCCGCTGTCCGCAGCCTGAATGGGTAAGGAGCCCTTCTGCTGGTTTGTGAGATTGGAGCCCGGAGGCGCAGCGTGTCAGGAGGGAAGGAAGCAGAGGGGAATAATCACGGAGAGTAGTTTGGCAGCTGAGTGCTCCTTTCAGGAGCATCCCGGAGAAGTGTGGAGGTGATGCGCTCTTAGGCGCTTCCTTCCCCTCAAGGGTGGGTGGTCACACCGAGGCTGCTGGAGCCAGCACCTCAGGGGGACCACAGAAACAGAATAGATTGGGTTGGAAGGGAGCTTGAAATCATCTCGTTCCAAGCCCCGTGCTGAGGGCAGGGACACCTTCCTCAGAAGGTGAAGAGATAATTCTACTAGAATAGATTGCTCCGAGCCCCGTCCAACCTGGCCTCCCTGCGGCAGCCCATCGGCACCCCGAGATTCCCAGGAAGGAAAAGGAGCTGAGAGGGAAGGGACAGTAAGCGCCAGAGGTGGGAACTCTGCTCGGGCACGGGGTGCGGGGAGTGAAGGGACAGCTCGGGGTCTGGCATGAGAAACCGGTGTCTTGGGAGGGCGGACGGAGGCTGGAGCAGCCCAGGGAGAAAGGGAGGACGCTGGGCTGGCTGAGGGAGAGGAATGTCAGGGTAGGTGATGATTATGGGGCGGAGGGTATCGCTGCTCCCTGATCTCTGCCCAGTGCTGGTGCGCTGAGGTACCGAGTACTACTCCGACCTGCAAAGAAGCGACGCTGCTCCTCCACTGAGAGCGGAGAAATGGGGGGCAGGAGGAGAGCCAGGCGCTCAGTCCCTTGGCTCACTCACCACCTCTTTTATATACCTGTGCAGGAAGAAAAGGAGGTCCAGTGCAAGTCTTAGGAAGGCTGTGTTTCTGATAGCTGAAACGAGGAGGTTCCGAGGGTTGGGAAATTCTGTTTGTGTCCCTGCTCCTACAACAGGATCCCTGATAGTGGTGACTGGGAGAAAATTTCATTAAACCAAGGACACAAGTCCTCCTGTATCCCTCTGCACCTTCCTGTCCTAAGATCCCTAAAATCTTTCTACCTTTTCCTCAAGCCACCCGAAGTCATTCAGCCCAGTGTTTGCTCTTTAATCCTGCTCTTAGTCCTCCCTTTCTTGACAAAACCTGCATCTTGCAGGTTTTCTTTATCCCCAATATATCCCTAGCTATGTTTAGCTACCTCTGTGCTGCCTGCCCCTCTCCTTTCTGTCTCTTTTGACATCCCCACTGCCTGGGAGCATCCCTTACCTCCTGGCTGACTCTACACCAGCTAAACCCACCAGCCTGAGATGAGCTCCCACTCCAGCTCAGCTTTCAGAAACTTGAACGTATCATTACATCATTTTCAGGAAAATGGGCAGTCAGTGTTCAGGCTCTCTTTTGGCAAGAGAGAATCAGATGAAATTTGTATTTTCCTGCATAGCTATTCTAATCACCAGGTCTGGGTATAAAAAGTAATGGCCTTTCAGAGTTTGTTGTTTTTGTTTGTTGTTTTTTTTTTCCCACCAAAAAAAACCCCAGCAAATTTGACAATATTTGGTAAATCTTAGTGTGCCACACTTAGAGATCAAAAGTAATCTTCAAAAGCAAACAATCAAAAAGTACAATTGGAAATAAGTATACTTAATCTTAAAAGAAATAATCGGGGGAAAAAATCAATTTCTAGCTTTTCTGCCTGAATCTTCAGTAACTTTGATAATTGACACTATTAGGCATACTTAAACTAAAAACATGCTTTTAAAGCAAAGATTTTTTTTTTTTTTTATGAAAGGCAGAGTGAGGATTTTGCTCATTTCCCTTTCTCAGTAGCTTTTCTTCATTCTTTCAGTGCTTGGCCTTTGGTTGATTTTATGCGCTGTTTAATATTTGTAAAATAATAACTTCTGAGCATTTTTTGGGTCTCCACCCCACCCTTCCCAGAGAGTATACTCTCTTTTCTGATTCTGTTTCCATGTTGGCTTTTAGGAAGTTTCATTTTTGCATAGTTGCATTTGAACTCTTATCAGATGGTTTTGTTTGTGTGTTTTTATTTTGCTTTAGTAGCTGAGCCGCAGGAGACTGTCAGAGTAATGGTCTGTTGAATACTCCCTTAAGAATCAAGGCATTATAATGGTTCTCTTGCATGAACAGTTACTCTGCCTGTGATCACTTGAAGGAACAGAAAAAGAAACTGGTATGTTGGTACTTAAATGTGTTTCAAAATTACAGTCCAAAGTGCCACAGTAGTGCTGCGACTTGGGCGTTAAAACCAATGCAGGTAGCCCAGCAAAGAAACCAAATGTGCTTAGCAGGTCAGAAGAGGAGGTGAAATTTGACCTTTTCAATACTTGGGCTACTTTTTTTTTTTTTTTTAAATAAAAGATGGCTTATTTCCAAACAGAGGAGTTTTGCAACATCTGCTTTTGGGCAATTTTAATCATCTTATTGACCAAATCTTTCCGAACAGGGATATGTGGAGTTCCTTGGCTAGATGGAGCTGTTTCTGTGGAATTGAAGGCTCATTTATTTATTTAGCCACAAGAGGAAGACAGGATAAGCAATTGTCATCAGACTCCATTTCTGTTCCTTTAGCAATAGCCTGCACTCTTCAATACCCATGTTAATTCAAATATCCCATGTGCTGTTGCAGTAGTCTTACTGATTTTATTGATATTCCAAGCCAAGCTGGATGGGGCCCTGAGCAGCCTGATCTAGTGGTTGACATCCCGACCTGTGGCAGGAGGTTTAAATTAGATTATCTTTAAGGCTCCTTTCCAGCCCAAACCATTCAATGTTTTTTTGATTTCATTTTTTTCATAATGAAAAGGTCTCTTCTGTCCTTGAGCAATATTGTTAATGGGACAAACAAGTGGACGTCAAGAAACAAATAAGAAACCAGAAGTGGCACCAAGCGAGATCATGGAGGCAGAAATTGAAATACAAAATAATAAAGAGGAAACCAAAGAGGTGAAGGCCAAAAACCAGAAGCTGACATCAGTCTTTGGTCTGGCAGACTTAAAAAATGGTAATAATGTTTTGCCTATTCTTCACTGTCATATTTTCTATTTCTTTTGCCTACTGTTCCGTTCTCTGTTCATAGGCTTAATTTTCTCCTATTCCTTATCTCTTCACTGAGGATAATTCTCATTTTGCCTTGCTAAGTAACCATTTTGATTTTTTTAAGAATTAATTACATTAAAATCTCAGAGCTTTTTCTGTATTTAAGTCCTCAAATTGGCCATTGCAGCCAAAAAGGCCTAGTTGCTGGTTCTGTCTCTTTCCAAACATAGCCAGAAGTGCTGGATTTGTCAAACCATGGATTAGGCTCTGGTTATTCTCCTCATATAGGCAGCCTTTGCCTCCTGTTCTTCTATTTTATGTTGAGGTGTGTTGTGAGAGGACTGAAAATAGAGGAACTGGGAGAAATCTGAGAATCATTAGCTGGGTTTCCTTGGATTTTTTTCTGTCAGTTGCCAAACAAAACCAAATTTTATCTGTTTGATCAACGAAAGAATAGATTGAACACTTTTTCAGGCCTGACCATGATGCTGAGCCTATACACTGAGTTACTGAATGTGCACAAGAGGAGTTTGCCACTTCCAAATAACTTTCACTTTCCTTTCTTGTACCTATCCCCAGGCCTCACTTCATCTTTTTCTCCCCTACAGAAGCTATTGGACTGTACAACCTTGGGCAGAGCTCCTGTCTGAACTCTCTGCTCCAAGTGTTCCTCATGAACATATGCTTCACAAGGATACTCCGAAGGTACCTCCTGTTTGAGCTCCCTGAGATATTTCCATTGTTGCACTGTTATCTCTACTCCTTTTATGTGGGATACACTGTATATACATCCAATATATATATATATATCCAATACTGTGTATTGGATCACTGAGGTGCCATCAGGATGCTTTTGGTCCCTCAGCAATGTGTCTGCCTTGTTGTGTCTGTCATGCACTGACAGGCCCTGCAAAGGTAGAAGTTGCAGTGTCCAGACTTGCTAATCATCTCTGATTCGTGTCCTGAGCTGAGTCTTCATGGCTTGTATCTCTCTCCTTTCCCTAACAGGATGTAATTTTATTCCAGGCTTGCTCATAGGCCATTATAATAAAGGGTGTGTCACATGTAGCCATATCCACTATTGATTTTGTCACTTGAAGCATGTAAACATAAATATATCTTAATCCCTTGCCTCTGGGCCCTGACTGCCTTGGCTAGCACCTGACAGAGAAGTGTTGTTGCAGATCATGAATACCTAGCATTACTTAGTTTTGCTTGACTGTTGTCCACGAGTATCTTGAGGAGGATTTGGGCTTCTCTGTCTCTACTGACCACACTAAGAACTGGATTGATTTGTTTTCAGTTTACTCACTTCACTGCAGATTTAGTAATCTAAGTGGATTGTTTCTATTTAGTCCTTTCTCACGTGCCCACTAGTAAGCAGAGGAGAAAGAAGACAGATTTCAGATATGCAGAAATGATAAGTGTCATAAATGGACAAAGCTAAATAATGTAGATTGTAGGTTACCATGCTTATTTGAAGAAAGAAAAACCTGTGGGCTACTGTAAATTTAGGGAGAATTAAGAGTTTTGTTGGCATATTGTTGAAATACAAGCATTATGATATATGTGCCCATGAAATTTTGAGGCCAAGTTGAGAGTGAGGACATCAATGAGTGGGAGGCAACAAAGGTCTGGAATTGGCTGCAACTAATGTTGTTTCTAGAGGCCAGAAAGCACTTGAGGTCCTGCTTGGCTTGTCTCTTTTTCAGGAGTAAGCCAACTTAAAATTTTGGCCTTTTACTTTAGAACTGTCAGCCTGCACTATGGGATCCTTTTCTCTTTTTTTGATGAAAATGTCCCCATTCTGGTTCTTCTTGAGCTGCTGTCTCTGCTACTGACTTGTGCTCCTTCAGGTGTGGTGTCTGATATTTCTCCATTGAACCTCTGACTACCATTGGTGTTGCTTCTTCCCTTTTCAGGATCACAGTGCCACCATCTCCTGCACAGAGGAGGAACGACGTCCCCTACCAAATGCTCCTGCTGTTGGAGAAAATGCAGTGTGGCAAGTGCAAAGCTGTTGGTCCCACAGACCTGGCTTGCTGCCTTTCAGAGCACAGAGTGAAATGTAAGCAGCCCTGCCTCATGCCCACCTCTGTCTGCATTATCCAGCACTTGCAAGCAGCCCAGATTCCAACATCTCCTCCAGGAATTCAGAAATGCCAGGAGTTGGGCACACAATGACACAGTGCTCTCTGTAGCTGCCTCCCAGCTGAGTGCAATGCTGTGTCTTATTTGTGAAGAGAGGAAAAAAAAGCCCTGCTGGATGTATTTGCTGATATCCAAAGGGTGGGAGGACTATCAGGCTGCTGGAAGATTCAGCTATGGATGCTGTGCAGGGCAGAGAGGACAGTTCATTGTTTGATTTGTTTTGCTGTGCTGCATCAGGATAGTGAAATAGCTGCTGTTACTTATTAGAAGAAAGGGATAGTGTGGAAAAGAGAATGAATTTGCACAGATCCCCCTCCTGCTGCTTCTTATAAGGGCAGAGAGAAGGATTTGCAGGCTAAATCTTCCAGCTGGTCAAAGTTCTAAAAAAGAGAGGTTTTTAATGCATGAGTGACCAGTGACAATGGGATGCCAAGAGTCTGTCTATGTGTACAATACACAGGGTATAACCAAATGCCCTTATCTTTGTCATATAAAAGCCCAAACAGGAGATTACTGAAAGGGGAGGTGCCCTAACCCTTATGAAAGAGGAACACAAGGTAAACTCAGTATCCCTGTTTACATCATTTTTCTCCTGTCTCTGAGTGGCTTTGCAGTCAGCTATCTCTCTTCCAGTTAAAGAGAGATAGGAATCAAGGGATCTATCCAATCTGGTTTGTGAAACATATGGATAGGCCTTCCTGACATTTTAATCTCCATATTAAAGCATTTTATCCTTCCTGGGGCATGAGAGGATGGGAAAAAGAAGTCTGTGAGTAATAAAGGTGAAAAGGAGAACAGAATCTTCCTTGTATTTTTTCTAAGGAGGATTCAAAGGGGACTCTTGACAAAGGCATGGTAGGACATGTGACATGGAAGTGATGGGACAAGGGGTTATGGTGTGAAATGGAGAGCTGGTTTAGATTAAATATTGGGAATAAATTTTTTACTGTGGGAGTGGTGAGACACTGATGCAGGATGCCCAAGGAAGCTGTGGATGCTATGTCCCTGCAAGTGTTCAAGGCCAGATTGGAAGGTGTTTGCTGGTCTAGTGGAAGGTGGGGGGAGTGGAACCAGATGATGTTTAGGGCTCCTTCCAACCCAAACCATTCTCTGATGCTATGAAATGCACCCCCCAACTCAGTGAGCCATTTGAACCCTCCTCTGGATGCTCCTCTGAGCATCCTCTTGTCCCTGCACCTGGTGACAAGGAATGACTTTTGCACTGGGTAGTACAAACACTCCTGTGCTTTCCCACTGCCTGCTCAGGTCACATGGGGAAATTGCAGCTGGTTCCCAGTCTAAGCTCTGTCTCTGCAGGGAGGAGCAAGGGACAAGAGACTGGATCTAAGGGGGGACAAAAAAAAATCTCCCTTTGCCATTTGTGGGAAATCTGTGCTTGGTGCTGTTCATGATACTGATTGAGGTTGTGTTTTCTGCCCGTGCAGTGTTTGTGCAGCATGATGCTGCTCAGCTCTTTCTGACTCTCTGGAACTTGTTAAAGAAGCAGATGAAAAAGCCAGAGCTGGTAAGGATGGTAACTGAAATGAACCTTTGGCCCTTATCATGTGTGGTTTCCTCTGCTCCTTGAACGATCCCATTGACTGGCAATTGCCCAAAGTTAAATTTTTTTAATTACCTCTTCTTTCATTGTATCTTTCAAATGGGACAGAGAATCTTTGTTTCATAAGCTTTGACATTTTAAAACACAGTTACATTGTGCTCATCCTGCTTTCAGGGCATGCCAGAATCTATTCTAATGGGAGAGCTGATAACTAAAAGATTGATCTTTTTGCAGCATTGCATTTAATTATATTTAATTTCTCTTTCCCCCCAAATTTCTGTCAGCATTTATTGGTGTATCTTGACACAGCTTTTCTGTTCTTTGAAGTCAGCCACGTGCATTTCACTATAATTAGTCAGTGCTAGTATGTGATGTATATAAGTCCCATGGGACTGGGAAGAGAAAAGTGACTCTTCCCTGACTGACTGTCACAGTTTTAGTAATACAGAAGACAGGCTCTTGCTGCAGTTTCAAGTAAAATAGAACAATTCTGCATCAAAGCAGATATTTAACCCTCTGGTCTTATAGGCTGTGTCTTTCCCTTCTGTTAGGGAATGAGGGGAAGGAGTTGTTCTCCTTTAAATTTAGGGACGTACCCTGTCCACATAAGTCATTGTCACATCTTGGTTCCAACCTCAAAGGAATAACCTTGCTTGAAATGTGTGACCACAGGGGCTTTCCCATCTACAGTGGAACAGCTCAGCTCTCTTCTTCATAAACCTTGTTTTGGCCTTTATTTTCACCCCTCCAGGTTAAAGAGCTGAGTGATTTGTACACGATCTGCATACAGGAGCATCTGGCCTGTCAGAAGTGCTCTTTTGAAGTAAAGAACAACAGCACCATGTTAACCCTTCCACTCCCAGTGCTGGATGCCAATTCTCACAGGCTGAAGACTCTGGTAAGTTTAGCAGCAGTACTGTTTCCTTAGGAGATGAGTCCCCTCTGTTAAGAGTGGATTTTTCAAATCCCAGTGGTCCACTGGACCTTATAGATTCTCTGACCACTTTATACTATTTCAGCATAAAGGAGCTGCTTTGAAAACCACTAAGGCTTTGAAGTAGGAATAAAAGACATTTATACAGCAATACCTTCTTTGTGGAATATGTGTACTCTTTTTTTTTTTTTTAAATCCCCCAACTATTGAAATCACAGCAGCAGCTAGGAGAAATGAGGCACCTTTTGTTTAAGGCTGCTAGGCAGTCTTTTGTCCTTTGAATAAAACATTCCTTCTCTAACTTTGCTGGCTTGGACCCTCTGAAATAATGTAGAAATAAAAATTCAGCTGAAGGAATTCAGTTGAAAGAAGTCTCTGTCTTTTTAGGAGGACTGTCTGCAATACTTCTTCCATCCAGAGGAGTTGACTGGACAAAACATGTGTTTCTGTCAACAGTGTGGGAGAAAAACAACTTTTCTGCAGGTAATTGGAGAATTATTTCCCCATGTCTCATACCCAGAACTTTCTTGAAGACTGGGGAGGTGGGGAAAGGACTCAACCATATCAAGTTTGAGAGGAGATCAACAACTCAGATTTGCCAGGACAGCAGTGTCAGTGTGATAAAAAATACAGACACCTTTTCTCCTGTTAGGAAGAAGGTCCTGTGGTCTAATGCCACAAGGAAGTCGATTTGCTTCTCCTTGCTTTCCTTGTGCTACCAGCCTATGGCTAGAAAAGCACATGAGAAGTGAAGCAGCCCTTGAGACACCCAAGGCTGGGTGCTGGTGACACTAAAGCTGAGAAACTTGGATATCACAGCTCTGTTGTGTGCAGACAGGATACCAAGGTTTGGAATCTGAACTGGCAAATATCCACTGGAGCATTGGCTGTTCTCCATTCTACACACACTGGGGGGCAGTGGCTCCCCAGGCTTTGTCCCCAGAGTTTGTCCCCAGTTTTCAGTTGCATTGTTGACTGTTTCACAGAGCATGAAGCTCACCCATCTGCCACAGACTCTGGCCTTGCACCTAAAGCGCTTCTGCTTTGAGAAATCCTCTCGTACGCACAAGCTGAGTCTCCACCTGCCATTCCCACAAGAACTGGATCTCAGGGAAGTCTTGACAGAAAGTCAGTGCCAAGCAGATGACAGTGAAAAGGTGAGATATTCCTGTTCAAAAAGGGTGGATTTTCTTCTCTCTGCTCCATTCTCATAAAAACTTAAAGATCACACCAATACTTGTCTCAGTTCAAAGTGCTTGTCTTAAAAATTTGTGTCTCAAACTTTACCTGTGCCTGGTGTTGTCTCACATCCCATAGTTTTAACTGATTCAGCCATTGTTTAACATTCTCTACTCAGATTAAATCACCAAAGGCACCATAACTGGAGCTTCCTGCTTTAAGGACAAAATCCAGGCTTTGCAGGTCTCACCTGTGCAAGACAGGGGAATTCTGTTCCTGGTATTTCCCATGCAGTATTGTTTATATTGTTGGCCACAGATTTTGATACTGTTGGCCACGACAGCTTTGCTAGGTAGCTGAGATGGATCTGCCCCACTGTGGGTCTGTTTGTTTTCCTGGGAAATAACCAAGGGGAAGTGTGCAACAACAGAAGTCACCACTGCAGTGACTGTGGTGAACCTCTTTGCTGTTCCTTTGCTATCCTGCTGCCTTTCTCTCCACCCTCTGGTCTCCAGGGAGGCTGCCAGCCCATAGCTGATGGGCAAAACCGAGGGCAAGAGCAAAAAAAGGCAGGATTCTCAAGGCAAATCTGATCTTTTTTCCTTACAAAATGCATGTCCTCACTGCCCTGGCTGCTGCTTGTCTGCAGTCTGTGGCAGATGAGAATTGCTGCACTGGAAGTTGCTCTTTGTGTCTCTTTGCAGGCTACCTGGCAGTTTGAGCTCTTTGCTGTCGTTGCTCATTCAGGATTGAGCAGCTGTGGGCATTACTGTGCCTACATTCGGAGCCTCACAGACTGTAAATGGTATTGCTTCAACGACTCTGAGGTTTGCCAGGTAAGCAGATCCAGCCACATTTCTTTTGGACCTTCCTGGACACTCCTCCAGGTCTCACCCAGTCTGAGTGGTGCTGACTAGAGAGAACCAGCAAAGGGAACTGAGGCTGCACAGCTTTGTCCACCTCTGTTACAGGATGCTCTGGGCTGAGGGCAGAGTGGCTCTCACTTCTGCACCAAATAAGGCCTCAGGTTCTGTTTTGTGCATTGAAAAATGACAAAGCATTCTGAATATTGCGGACTATTCAAGATATTTGCTGAATATCCTACTTGATGTACCCTACGTCTGTTTAATGTATACATTCAGAACTGGTTTTCCTCAAAGAGTCAAAGCAATAAACCAATTTATTGAAAGGTGTTTAGTTCCTGGAAGTGCCACTTATACCACTCTTATGAGAACTCCTGGGATGGTATCAGAATTTTTCCATCTCTTGAGAGTTTTTACAAGGTTCCTGCTGTGTGTTTTTCTCCTCTAGGTATCATGGGATGATGTTAAATGCACCTATGGACATTCCAACCTCTACTGGTATGCAAATGTATCCCTGATATTTGCTAATACTGCTCTGGACTTTGGAATGAGGGTAGCAAAGAGAGGGGAGACAAATTGGTTTGGGAACATATTGGGGTCTAGTGGGGATGCAGGAGATGTGCAAGTCAGGATTTCTCCACACTTTTTATTTTGATGCATTGTAAGAAAATGAGCTTACAGGAGGGACATAATCTCTCCTATAAACCACAGCACTGCCAGCAAATCTTAGGAACATTGGAGAGGGCCAGCTTAGTTGACCTAAAGCTCAGAAAGCTGAGCAGGAGCAATTCTGGGATGTTACCTGCAACCTAGATCTTCAAACATACCTTGTGATGTGCCTTCTCTTTGCCTCCACAGGAGAGAAACAGCCTATCTCTTGTTTTACATGAAAAAGCACCCTCAGCAGCCCTGGCCAGGAGTATCAGAATGTCTCTGAAAGCTGTGCATTGTCCATGGAGCTCAGCACCTCTGTGCCAGTGAGAACATGTCCAAACATTTCACCAGAAAGACATTCTGCACTCAGCAACCTCGGACGTCAGATTTGGTGAAAAAAGTGCAGCAGATACTCAGCTAGGGGAAGGATCTAGGAACTGTTGCAGCTAGGGACTTTTACTTTAGTGCAATTTTTATATTAATGTGACTCCACTTGTTCATTTCCTCTTTAAAAGATGGTGAAGATAGTCCTTGCCTCTGCTGCCTTACTATTTTCCTTAATGCTGATGCCTGGATCCCATTGCAAGGGAAGTGTCTGGGCTGAAAGTCTGTGTGATGTGCCAGGGAGGTGTGGGAGCCATACAGAGCCAGCAAGAGCTTGAGATTTACTTTGTCCTTTTAGCACCCTGTTAGATGCTGGAAGGCTGGGCAGGAGACCCCCAAAATCACCCCAGAAACAGCTGGAGGAAGGATCAGAACCCTTATGACACACACATCAGTGGCACACACTCCTTAAAACCTCCCAGAAAATGAATCACTGCAGGGGCACAGATGTGTCAAGAGGTGTTTCAAATCAGGAGCTATTGGAGCAGTTCTGATTTTCAAGATGGTTTGTTTAAATTTGTGCAGGTGATTATTATTTTAACAGGCTTATCAGGCTTTTAGATGCATTTTCTTTCCTGTAGAGGAAGATATTCAGAGCAGCAGAGATTCTGAAGCTGGTTTGTGATTTTGCACAATACAGGCCATACATGGTGGTAAGGGAAGTGAGATGCTTTGATGCAATTGAATTTTTGGGATTTTTGGTTGTGTGGCTTTCAATACACTCATGGTGTTAACTCTTGCTGATCCTCTTAGATTAGATCCTCTTAGAGAATCCCAGCAGTTTGGGATCTGGAAGTACCTTCACCCTAATACACCCTATAACTGTATCCTTACAAAGGTGCTGTTTTGTAGGCTGAGCAATTAAAATATTATATTAAAATTATATGAATTATATAAAACTAATATAGATATATTGCCATCTATGTATAACCCAATTTTATTTTGGTAATGATGGTGGAGTTCACAAATCATGTCCATTTTCTGAAGGTAAACTGAAGAATCTTAGAGCATAGCTGTGAAATTACTCATTTATGGTGTAGTAGGTATTTATTTCACTGTATTAGCAAGGTCCATTATTCTGTTCAGCTGTGTATTTGTATTATTTATTCTGTGTTACAAAAATCCCAGTGTGTTATTTACCATCAGGATGAGGAATTTTCAGCCTGTTCACCTTCAGGAATATATTGAATCCTTTCTAAAGCATCTTGCAATGGGTGAGTAAGAAAACCAAGTTTCTGTTTGCTTTTCCAACACTTTGCCTCTGTAAAGAAGCTAGAAAAAGCTGCATTTTTCTTAGCTGATCTGAGAAGTTAATGGGATAAGAGAACTGACATTTCTAATTAGCTATAACTTGAAATTTAAAAATTTATGCTTATGAAAAATGCCTTAAATGCATCATAACCTTCCAAGCATGTCACCCATCAAGGAAACAATTGCAAAGATATATTTAAGAATATTTTCAATCAGTGGAAAAAAAAAACCATTTAATTCCAATGAAAAGTAATCGGTGTTTTTTTGAATTAAATATTATGGGATACATCCCTTAAAATCAGTCTTGTGGTTTATTCTTCATCTATTCTTCCTAAACACTGAATGCAGATCAAGTATTCAGGGTAGAGCTCCTGCTAATGTTTATCTCCAAGAGCCATGGTTCTTAGTTTGAAAAGAGAGGTGTTTGTTAAGAAAGGCAGGAGCCTTCCTTGAAATGGAAAATGTAAACTCCTTCCCTCCAAATTATTATAGTTTTTGAAACTATGAGGCTCTCAGGCAGAGATATGGGAATGAGTTCTTTACTAGGAAAATTAAAAATACAAATGTAATGGCACAAACAAAAAAAACCCTACTGACAGAGTCGGAACAGGAGCTGAATCCCTGTGGGTCAGGGTGGTGGCAGCAGTCCCATCAGTCCCATTCCATGGTGGCTCAGCCCTCCTGCAGTGCCAGCTGTGCTTCTGCTGGAGCAGGGATCCTGGACAAGGGGGGAGTTTTCCTCTGGAGCTCCAGGGGGGGATATGGGCCTGGGCTCCCTCTGGGAATGCAGGGGAGAAGAAAGCTGCTCCTCTGGGAATGCAGTGGGCAAAGGCTGCTGTGGTGTTCCAAATTCAGATTATATCCGGGTAGGAATGCTTGGCTCCTCCCTCTGGGTGGAGCATCTCCCAGTGGGATGATGGAATTTTCTCAGCCATGCAGTGACAATCAATAGCCCATGAGCAGAAGATAATTAATAATTCATGGCCCATTAACAGCAGTTGTCTCCTAGAGGGAGGATTGGTTTCTGGAAGATATAAAGAAAACTGCTCAATTAACAGAAGATAACTGCCACACTTCTGACAAATGGCAAATAGAATATCCCCAGACAATATCTCACAACTCAGGACACGGGGAAAAAAACAGCTAGACCTGAACACTTCACCCTTGTGCTGGAGGCACAGTGAGTTTGTTTTTAGGTTTGCTGTCTCCTGGAAGCTTAAACTGCTTCCCCACGGAGCTGGGCCGTGGGAGCGCAGGAGGGTGAGCAAACTGCAGCGCAAAAATTCTGCTTTAAAAAACTGAGCTGAGCTGCTTCTGCAAAAAATCACCTTGGCTGCCCCTGTGTCCACAGCAAAGCCCAGCCTTGTGGTGAACAAACTGCCCCAGGAGTTATTTCCATCCAAGGAAGCCCCTTTCAGCCCAGTGCCTGGGGTTCAGTGCTGGTGTGCTGCTGAATAGGAGAGTGGTGGGAACCTTGCCCCAGGGCTGCTGACATAAAACAGCTCGTGGCATTTCTGCCAGAAACATTTTTCTACCAAAAAAACTGCTGCAAAGGAGCTGCAATGATTTGTCTTGTGCTGTGCAAATGAAGTCCTGTACCAGCAGCAAGGGCTTTGAAAAGCCAGACAAAGCCAAGAGGATGTGTTTGGAGAGATTACTGGAGGTCCTAGTTTTTTGTTTGGTTTAGGATTACCATGCAGTAGCAAATTACACATCCTCTGCTTCATCCCTGCCAGACTCTTCCTCAGATTCAGATATTCCTCACCTTCAAGAAACACACAGAATACCAGGGGGAAAAAAAGTAAATGCATCTAATAAATGTCTCACAGAGGTATAATTTCTAAAATGTCAATATGTAATTTACAAAATCACTGAAGGACAGGGAAACAACAATTCGGAGAGCCATGGTCATTTCTCCTCTACGTAATCCTCTTTTCTGACAAATAAGGAGAAAATCCATGTATGGGAATGAAATCTCTACCTAGAAGCCCTGGGCACTACAATTACTGGTTAAACCCTGCTTTCATTGCAGAATTCAGGCCAACAGACCTGATCTTTTATTTCAAAACTTGATCTTTCAGAAATAAAATTAAAAGGGTTCTGAATGACAGCAGCTGACAGCAAAAGCTATGGGGAGCCTTGAGGTCAAATATATATATAAATAAAATAAATATAAAAACATGTAAAAACATAGGTGTCTGATGCTGTGGGGATGAAGCCATATTGGGAATTAAAAAAAAAATTCCTTCTGAGAAAAGAAGCTAGCTGGCATTTTCTGGTGTTGTGTCCAGGACAGGTGAGATGAGAAATGTTTTTGGGGAATGTACCAACTCCCCAGATACCACTTTTCTTGCAGTAAAGTTGAACCTGCAACCTAAACCAATGCAAAATCACCATGATGAGCTCACTCAATAAATTCATGAGGAGCCTGTAATCGGTTTTTAAGTTCTTCAAAGGGTGCGATAAACCAAAATCCCTGCCTCCTCTTATTATGGCACTTCTGCCCATATTTTCCTTGTCTGCAGCCAGTCAGCAGGCAGGAGGGAGGGGCCAAGCTGATTTAAAAGGTTTTGCAAGAGCCCACAGCCTCTCCTTGCCTGTGGTGCTGGAAAGAGACTGCACATGGCCACTTACCTGGAGCTGCCCACTCGTGGGAGGATGCCCATCCTGGGACTGGGGACCTGGCAGGTACCTGCTGCAGCTGGGGAGCTCTGGGCAGGCATTTACATGCTGCAAAAATAAAAACTTCTGCCCAGCTCATTTTCCTTTCTATTTTTTTTTTGTTTGTTCTGTTTTGTTTTTCTTTGTTTGTTTTCTTTTGGCACTGGGTGTTAATATCCCAGCATGTCATGTAGGTGTCATCTGTGATGGGTGTGTGTAGCTACAGGAATTTAAGGGGCAATAAGTAGATTTGGAAATGGGAACTCACAAAAATCCCTTAGAGACTGATGATAGCTTATTTTTTTTAGCAGCAGATGAGTATGCAGCACTCTTCAGGGATATTGCTTGGGTGGTTCTTTATCTGTAAATGTTACCTAAAAGACTTTTGGTAAGAGAGAGTAGGTTAAAGAATATATTGAATTATAAATATAAAAAGAGTCTGGAAATGAGCTGAAAGTTTTATGAAATGAATCTTCTTAAGCAAGATAAAAAGATAAAAAAAGAGTAGATTTTCCCCTGGATTTGGACTGGAAAAAAAATATGTCAAATCACAACTTCCCAGCTCCATGAAACACTTTTCTAGTCACCATAAAAATATCTTAAATTCTTGCTATATTTTGGGTCAGTTGATCTCATCAGCATTTGACTTTATGTGCACAAACTGGGTGAGTTTGTTTAACCCTTTCAGTCGTTGTTTTTGTGATGACAAAGGACACTAAAGCCTAAAGGAGTTAAAGTAGACTTTAAAAACCAATCTGCCTTGTGAGGGGGGCTCTTAGGGCCCAACGCTGTGATGGGGGAGCTCTCTGAAGGAACTTGTTGAGCTGCTAATAGAAATTGGTCAGGACTGAGTAAAAGGAAAAGTTTGGGTACATGATCCCTGCCACTACAAAATACCTTCTGTTATGTAATGAAAACAAGGCCCAAACCCATGGGGATAATTTAATTAAAGCTATTTGATTTCAATGTTCCCACAGCAGTCTCAGTGTTTTGGTGCCTTAATGGGGCTTCCCCTTTACCCAGCAGCTCTGACTCGAAGCTGAGCTCGGGGAGCACCTTGGAAAATGAAACAATGGGTTATTTTCTCTGGAAAACATCTCACATGAAAGAGTTTTATGTAATCTCAAGGGTAGGTTGTTGCCTTTGCTCTCCACCCCTCAGCAGTAATTCCGATTGCTCCAGCATGGCAGCTTTCCCAAGCTGCAGCAGCGGCCAGAGATGAAGGGCTCCAAAATGCCACCATTTGGCCACTGGTAGCCTGCTTGCCCATGCCTGCTTCTTCCTGCTGCTCTGGGGGGCTCACATCCAGGAAGGGATGGGATGGGGAAAGGGACTGCAAAAAAGATAACCTGTAAAACTTTCAACTGGCTCTTTAGTTGTGTATAGCCTCGTGGGAAAAAAAAAAAAAGTTACATTTTCTATGTTTTTGTTGTTAATTTAAGTGAGCCAACTAAACACCCTTATACTGGAAGATCTTGGAGAAGTGATACAATTAAAAAAAAAAAGTAGGAGGTGGTCATGGTTTTAAATTACATTTCTGTTTGGAGTGCCATTTTCTGGATTCAGTCATCAAACAGCTCTTTGGTGGCTCCAAGCCAAGAATCTGAAGTGCTTTATTTTGCTCTTAAGTACCATGTGTGTATTTTACCCAGGAGGTGGCACTGTCTGTAGTGTTTTGAGTCCCCTCACCTCCCTGTCCTGTGTCAACAAGCGCTGGATTGTTGTTGTGCAGGGCCAGCATGCATTCCAGAGGTGATTGCTTTCCTCATGTCACCAGTATGTCACACTAAAGTAGCTTTTAATTTCTGTGGAAATTAGAACTTATTTCAGGATAGCCTCGTGTCCCAAGGTGAACTTCCAATACTTAGCAAAGGGTGGATCAGCTCAGGCACCTCATCAGTGACTCCTTTGCCATTTGATTTCACAAAACTAATGAAAGCCAGATACAGGCTGGAATACGTTGATATTCGGGGGCTTAAAACCGCCAGCTTTGCAGAACACCAAAGCTTCTCATCTGCTATTTAGCAAAACACTAGCTTCTCTTCTGGTTTCAGGCTCTCCAGGGGGCAGCAAGGGATGCAGTGAAGTTTGCCATCGATGTTGGGTACTGCCACTTCGACTGTGCCTACATGTACCAGAACGAGAGCGAGATCGGGGACGCGCTGTGCCAAAAAATGGAGGAGGGCGTGGTGGGGCGAGAAGAGCTCTTTATTGTCAGCAAGGTGTGTCCTTGGACAACAGTTCTCACTTGGGACCCAGCTCTAGGGATGAGAGACAAAGTCCCGACGTGGAAAGTGCTGTGGGATGAAGCTGGGAATTACCTCCTCTCTGTCAGGGCCAAGCATTTGGTGGATGCTGAGGGGAAAGAACAGGTCAATCCCTGAGAAACAAAAGGCTTGGTTTGAGAGGGGTTTTTTTGTAGTCCATGTCCATTGTCAGTCATGGAGACAGGAACTGAGGCTGTGCTCCTGGTGGCCTCTGGGATAGGAAGTGGGGCTATTGTTTTTGTGGTCACTCCTGCTGCGCTGTTGGCCTCAGCCTGTCAACTCCTGTATGTTATGCTTTGTTTTGTTTTTTCCCCCAACAACAATGGTAGGAAAAATAAAGTAACTTCTATCTGCTGGAAGCTGGTGGGTTGATTTTCACCAGGTTCACTTATTTTCTTTGTTTTAATTGTTGCAATAATTGATGGAATCTCAGAGTGTCCCATTCTCATTTCACTTACTTAACAGTACCACAAATAGATTGAGGTGCCTCAAGTGGCACTTTCTCAGGAAGAGAAGATGTGCCACACCCTGAGCTGCCTCTGTGTCTGTGCCCTGTTTCCCTGCCAGGGATGCTCTGCCATAGTGAGGGCAGGAGAGCAGCTCCCAGGCTTTGTTTCCCCACAGCTGTGGTCCACCTTCCACGAGAGATCCCTGGTGAAGGAGGCATGCCAGAAAACACTTGCTGCCCTCCAGCTGGATTATTTGGATCTCTACCTGATGCACTCTCCCATGGGATTCAAGGTATTGCAACTTTAAGTCCTGGGATCCGTCAGGGCTTTGCCCCTTTTGCCTTTGGGACCAGACATCTCTTTAGTCCTCTCCAACGAGGAGTGTTGGTAAATCTCATTAGGACATAAAGATAACCCTCTGCAGGGAGAGCCCAGGAGGAGAGGTGAGGTCATGGCTGCTTAAACGGGGTCCTGTGGTACAAAAACAACCTTATTTTTCCCCTGCCCAGCATTTTCAAGTCATCAAATTACCATCCAGATCATATTCCTCTTACAGTGTGGGGTTTGGCTGCCATTTCCTTATCAATAATCAAACATGTGAACTACTTAGTTTAGATTTTTCTCTTCTCTCTCTACCCCCAGGTTAAATTAATCCTGGTTTCCCCACTGTGTCACCCCCCTGGCCTTTTCCCAACCTGAGGTATAGAGAAGTGTCTGCCCTTCCTCTGCCTGCAGGACAGAGCCTCAAGAGACAGATTTTCTTGAAGATCTCTCTGTTGATACAGGCTAGTTGTTTCAGCCATGTCTCACCCTGCCACAAACATAATTGAAGATATCCAGCTCAGTGTCTCCAGCTCCACTCGCTTGCCCAAATTTCTGAATGATTTCTTGAAGTACTTATAATTCAGCTGACCTTAATGTTGCTTTTCTATTTGTGCTGATAGGCAGGAGAGGAGCTATTTCCTGCAGATGGAAACAGCATGATCATTCCCAGCGATACAGATTTTCAGGATACGTGGGAGGTACATTCATTTACAGGCCAAAAATATCTTGCTAGCTTGAAATAACAGCCTGAAAACTCTAAGCTTTCCACTGTGGGAATTGTTCTGAGAGAATTTCTAACATAAAGTATTTGAGATTCCTGATTTCTCTGTGTCCTTGGGCTCCTCTTTGTGTCACTGTGCCAAAATTTAGGTATTTTTATATCTACTGCTTACTAAACTGGCTGGGTTGGTATGACAAGAGGAAATCTGACTGCAGTAGCCTGAGCTAACAAATGCTGTCGCTGTCATCCCTACCCCACTCTGGGCAATTTTTGGTGGCTTTAGTTGTAGCTATGCTTATCTCTTGTTGCACCTAAGCCATCCAGACCCCAGCAAAGCCAACATGCCTGCACCAGAGCACATAATTTCTGTCTCTGGAAGGTAGTGGGACTTGGCCAAAGTCCTTTGCTAAGCTCTGTGTGCAGCACAGGCTGTGTGGGAGACCAGGCTTGGGCGTGAATTCGAATTCCTGCTTGGCCAATACTTTGGGCTTCCTTTCCCTTCCACTCCCACCATGTGCTCAGCACAGCTAGGCCAAGAGCAGGTAAGAAACTCACCAAAGTCAGAAGAATTCACTGGTGCTTTTTGCCTTCTGTCAGATGAAGAATAAGGCCCATTTTTGTTGTTCATTTGAGGGAAAAAAGTGGAAATTTCAGACTACTGCTTATGACAGCAACTTCAAATTAAAATTATTTCTGCATTTCTGCTTTGGAACAGAAAAGGCTGGTAGTAGATAATTTTACCATTTCTTTTCTGCTGGATGTGACAATCTAATTAGGGCTGTCTGGCTTTTTTATTGCTCATTAGTGTGAAAGAATATAGGTGATGGAGGGGGAACACAGTGCTGCTTATCCTATAATCCAGCTGCTAAATGGTACGTCTCTCCTGGGAAATTAATCAGGGCTGATCACCAGTATCCATTCTGTTCCAGCTGTCTTGTAACAGCTTGTTGAGCTGCTCTGTTCCAAAGAAGGTGCTTTTTATTATGGGATGATTATTTGGTTAGCTGAGGAATTACTCTAAAAGAATCTCTTTCATCTATGTGAAGTTCTGCCTAGGGATAGTATTTTAAAAGAGTAATATTTTTACTGAAATAATAATAGTTTAGGGGTTGTGTGAATATTGCTGTTATTTGTCTGTATGGTGACCCATAATGTGAGATCCTGAGTCTCGCCAGAGTCCCCCTGTTCAGGTACAGATCTCACAGCACAGGAGGAGTCTAGCCAGGAAGATTTTTACCACTCAAGTTTTTGTGTGGGCATTTTTTTCCATATAAAAATGAAAGAACTTAATAGGAAGCGTGATTCTGTGGTGTTTCTAGGCCATGGAAGAGCTTGTGGATGTGGGAATGGTGAAGGCTATTGGAGTCTCCAACTTCAATCAGAAACAGATGGATCGGCTCCTGGGCAAACCAGGCTTAAGACATAAACCTGCAAATAATCAGGTAAACTGTCCTCCAGCTCCTCAACACTGACATCACACCTGTCTGGGGTGTTGCACTGGATGGAACACCTCTTAAAAGTCCCTTAAAAACCCCACACCTGCAAAAAGAGCCTTTTCAAAGCTGATGTGGCACAGTGATGCTAAACCTTGAGGTACCTCCTGCTTTTGAGAGGTGAAAGCTCATTTTTTTCTTTTTTCTTTCTTTTTTTTTTTTTGAGATTGAGAGCCACCCCTATCTTCCTCAGGAAGAGCTGATTAAGTTTTGCCAATCCAAAGGGATCTCTGTCACTGCATATTGTCCCCTTGGAGCACCCAACTGGCCAGGGTAAGAACATTTTGTGATATTTCTTCTTTAGACATAGATTAGAGTCAATGCAGTAAACCAGTCTTAGGATGTGGATGAAACCTCAGAGAAAAATTACTGCAATTAGAAAAAGACTTATTAAGTCATTAAAAATCATGCCCACAGAAATCTCACACTTACTGTGATATTCAGTCCAATAGTTTCATGTTTTGAAGAAAAATGATCAATTGGTTGATGAAAGCAGAGAAGAGAATTCTTAACTGAGCTTTGGTGAGCTTATTAAACATGTAGGAGGATTTCTCAGCTAAAAAAAACCCAAAAAAACCAAAAACACCCACAACAAACCAAACAAAAAAACAAAGCAGCAGATGCTTATGAAAATAGCAACTTTGCAGTCCTGCTGAGACAAAGGGATTAAGTTTGTAAATGGGGAAGTTGCAGAAATTTTGCTCGTACTCCCATCTTCATGGCTTCCTCTGACCCAGGACAAGGCTTTTGCCAGAGCAGCTGTGCTTGTAAAGGACAAGATGAAATTCTTGGGATATGGATCAAAGAAATTCCCAGCCTGATCTCAGGCTGGACATAAATGTGTTACAGTGACCTGTTTTTACTAGAAACTATAGGCCTCTTCTCATGTGCTCACTTGTTATAAAAGGAAAGAATGAAGGCAGGAACTGAAGAAACAAGATGCTAAATTAAAGTGTGCAAGATGATGCTTTTTAATCATTTAAACAATAATCTTATAATACAAGACTTGAGGGAGAAGACAGTGGGTTATTCAACTACTGAAGCCTGTTTTTTGTTTTTTTTTTATTTTTACAGGTCCAAGCCTGACCATATTTCCCTTTTTGATGATCCTCAAATTAAGGAAATTGCATTCAAGCACAACAAAACCCCAGCTCAGGTTAATACTGGCCAGAGTTATTTTCCCTGCTGACATGTATTCTTCCCACTTGTGTTAAAGTAACTACTTACAGATGTATTATGGAATAATAATATGGAGTTCCAGCTGTGTCTTGTATATAGTTTAATGCTTTAGAAAAATATCATTTCTACCTTGGTTTTAGTGATGGGCAGAAGATTATCAGTGGCTTTGGGCTTTAACTGGCACACTGGCTGGCTCTCCCAACACAGCATCCCTGCCAATCCTGAACTCTTGCTCACTGCACTCCTTTGTTGTCATCTCAGCTTCAGAGATGGATAAGGATTTAATGAGCTCATGTAGTAATTAGGAGGGGTTTAGGTAGTGCTTCTCCTCTGTGAGCCCTCTCTAGTTAGCAGTAGAGCTGCTCTGTGTAACCATGCAGACACCTTTGGTTTTCAGCTTTCAGAAGACAGGCAGCACTTCTCATGTGTAAATTCCCTCTGTGTTCCTGCAGGTGCTTATCCGGCTCCAAATCCAAAGAAATGTGAGTGTGATTCCCAAATCTGTCACTCCACAGCATATTGAAGAAAATTTTAAGGTAAGAGAGTACCTTACAGAGTCATTAATGGTGTTAAACTACACATGGAAAAAAAACCCACTCTGCTACAACCCCTCAAACTTAGAACCACCAAAACCTTTGTCAGATACCACATAAATGAATCCAAAAAGTCACTTTGAAAGTAAGGAGCCACATCTTCATTAGAACACATCAGGTAAGAGCCAAACCCTTCCACCTTGTGGCACAATTATGTTGCAGGCAGACCCCACCAGCACTGTATCCTTACACGTTTATTTATTGCTCTCCCTGCACACCTCCTAGTGCTTCAGCCTGCTTTTGCTATTCTTTCTGCAAACAAACTTCTTTGTCTCACTACAAACTGAAGTAACCCAGCTGTATGGGACCTTCATGCAGGTGTTTGACTTTGAACTGACTGAAGAGGAGATGGAGACCCTCCTTGGTTTCAAGAAGTGCTATCGCATCTGTGCATTAAGCGAGTGAGTACCTCCTCCAGGCTTTAGCAGGGTTGGATTACCACTGGATATCCTTGTAACAGACACTATTTGATAGCCCCACTTAAAAATAAAAAGAGAGGGAGCCTCAGCCAACATTGGTTATATCTGCTGGAATCTCACCCTTGGGTTTATTAGAGCATCGCCTGTCCTGTACAGGTTGGGAACACTGGGATTTCTGCAGGCACAATGTTCCTAAGATGTCCTGTACTGGATGCATACCAAACTGCTGTCTGAAAATCAAGATCAGCTGGAAATTCCAAAAATAAATAAGCAACAATTTCCCCCCTCCGTTTTCTTTGGCTCCTTTATATAAGGGACAGTCAGAGTAAATAAACTCCATTTTAAGAATGAGAGTTGTAAGGTTTTTTTGGAGGGAAGAGCTGTGCCTATGTACTCCTGCCAACATTATCTAGATAACAGAATGATTACAGACTCACCAAGAGCTGCATTTAATTCCATTTTCCCAGGTTACCCACTTGTCTAACAGCATCCTGGGGGCTTGGGAGTTCCCAAGAAAGAGGTTTAATATCTCGGGGAACTTTGGCAATTTCAGCTGAGCATAAGATACATTATCCTTTGAGAAGGAGGTCACTGATACATGTAAAGGTTACAGAGAATTCACTTTCCCTGCCCTGGATACACCATGCAGACAATGTGTCATGTACTTCAGTTTCAGTTCTTTTACCAGGGAAAAAGAAAGCTTTTGCTCTAAGCTATATCCTTAAAATGTTTTAATCATGCTCTCTTTTTCTAGATGCAAAAATCACAAGGACTATCCTTTTTTAGAAGACTGACATAGGCATCAGCTTCAGATCCTCCACGGATCCAGACCATTTATTGTTATTTCAAGCAATTTGCAATACTTTGTGTATTAATTAATGATAGAAGGAGATATGTACTAAAAAAAATGGGAGAAGGTAACTCACAGGCATTCTGAAGAGTCATCTTTGAACATGGATACATTTGCTTCCTTTACATCAACCAGCTGTATCAGTTCTTTATCTGCTCTTTTAACATGGTTTTCAGTTGCAGCAAAATATATATTCTATCTTAATTTAGTAATGATAATGAAGTTTAATAAACCCATATATTGGGATTAGGGAAAAGCATTCTTTGCCATTACTATAAATCCTGACTAAATTTAGAGAAAATTTAAATTTTCTGATCAGTTATACTTTTGGGCAAAAGGTCAATACATACACTATCTTTTAATTATCAGTACAAGACAATCCATTTAACACCAGAAGATGTCAATGACATGACATTCTACTTGAGATACTGACTTCAGCGTAACATTAATTTCAGTCTAACAGGCTGAAAGTTCTTTAGGGAACACTACTGAATTATGATTCAGGAGCTCTTTTCTTAATGAGGTTTCCTATTCATGAACTGCTAAAAACTAATAAACTACTAGGAGATTTGTATGTTTGGTTTATAGTATCTGCAAAAGTATATAAATACTGCCTTTATCAGTAGAATGGTTGCAGTTGAGACTGTGAAACTCTCCTAGAAAATCCAAAGTCTGATAAAGGAGACACACAGGAATTATTTTGTTTGGCAGCTGTCATATTTAGCAAGCAGAAAAACTGGGCAGCTTCACAGAAGCCAACAGCAGATTTTCACTCTCCTGTACTGTTCCCTAGGTACTGTTTGCTTGTGTTTTTACTGAAGGGATGTCTCTCAATGCTGTTGTCTCTGGTTACAAAAAAAATAAAAAAACAACAAAGTAGGTGCTGCTGCAGCCCATGCTGGTGTTTTAATGAGGTGTCTGTCTTGCTTTTTAACAATTGACTCACAACTCCTGTACTTGCTTTAGGCTCTTGCAGATCAGGATAAGAACAATGTGGCTCAGCACTGCGTACACAGAGAAGGACAATTGTGGAATTAAGGTTCAGGACTAGGATATGCACTTTATAGATATCCTTTGCCAACTGATTTTGTTTGAAGCAGATAAAGGAAATGATGACATATCTTTGAGCTACTTCAGACTCTTCCAAGATATTTGAATAACAGGTACTCTAGAAACAACAGAACAAATTCCCATCAAACTGGATTTCCCATAGCAACTCTTATAAAGTAAGAGGTCTGAAAAATATCAGGAATTGACACTGAACAGTTATAATGCAGTGATATGGACAGGAAGGTGCCTGTAATGGGCATTCTTTTTTTCTCCTCCTGAGCATGCTACATTTACAAGGCCAGTTGCAGGATATCATCCTAGATGCAATTAGGAAGTGAACTCTGTGGAAGGTGTTGTGCTGCCAGGTATTCAGCCTGTGGTCACTTGTTAACCAGAGCAGTAGCAGAAATACCCACTTAAGGCTGCAGCATACAGCCTGTCTTGAAATATTCTCTACTTCATAGGAATTTTCTAACCACATTCCAATTTAATCACAGCTATCAGACTTGAAGCTATTGACAGGATGTTTATAGATTGTGGTAGGCAGGAAGTCAGACTAGATGATCACAGTAGCCATATAATAGTAAAAAATTCAAAACAAGTTAGAAGCCAGAGATTGTGCATTTGTTTCAGAGACAATAGATCTTTTTCAGCTGCAGAGACTTTAGTAAAGGTAAAAGGAGAAGAATTTGGGTGGTGTCAGTTGCTGGGAAATAAAGCGCCCCTGTTTTGCAGCAGAGCCACAGCCCTATTTACAACGTGCCTTTCTAGAAGAGAGTTGCTGCCTCACAGCAAGCACAGCCCTGAGCCTGCTGCCAGGAGCTGTATGGGAAAGGTTTATAGTATCCCAAGTTAATTTTTTGTTTCTATCAGCTATGCAGCAGTGCTCTTGCACCAAACCCACACATAAATCATTCCTAGTCAGCAGTGACATTATCTGTGCCAATGAGCCCAGTAAAATGTAAACACCTTAGCTTAGCATTTTGTCTTTGTAGCACAACACATTGTCCCATGACTTCAGCTTTTCATTGTGGAGTTCATCCATTCTGGTAGAGTCAAGCCTCATGAAAAGTTCCAAAGGGGCTGGGTGAAAAAAGTAAAGTATTATGTCCATGTTTTGGAAGGAAAACTGGATAACACAGGTAATGAACAACAGGTAAAAATCCAAAACTCTTGGCTGTTCATTGCTGCTCAAGTTCTCCATCTATTGTAATTCCAAGCTCTCTCATATTGAGGTCAACATAGTTCAAAAGAAAACTTAACTGAGAAGCTGATTGAGACAGTCAGATACAAACCTACTTCACAAACTTTTTGCACGCAATCCTACACAAGATGTACTGGTCCTTGCCTTCCTCTGATTCTTAAAAAAAAGACTTACAGAAGACTGATTAGGATAATCAATGACCTAGGAGTAATTTATAGAGATGGCAATTAAGTAGACAAAGACTTTTCTTGACCTGACACCCGTACAAGGAGCTGTGCCAGATGTTTATCCTGGAGCAGCTTGCAAAGTGTTACTGGAAATAGACCAGTTATTATTTCCTCTACTGTAAAAAACAGTAGAATCAAATTAATCTATCAGCAAATCAGCCCAAAACAAATAAGAGATAAGGCAATTAATCACAAACCGTGAGTGTGAAGCATCATTCCCTTGGAACATAACAGATTCACAAGGTAACTGAAGAAGAAAGAATTAACTGATGGCTGTTAAACATAAAAGAACAAGCTGCTGTCAGAATACTTAAATAACACTCCGCTGCAATGCTCAATTTACTCATCTTTAGCAACTTATTTTGACCACAGCTGGAGACAAGATACTGTAACATGTAGATACTGAGTCTGATTCAGTTCAGCTGTTCCTATGAGCAACTACAGCTGGCCTGTAATCAGGCCTATTTCAATTTAGAAAAGCTTTTACATTTGGCTTTTTTTTTTTTTTCCTTAAAAAGCTGGGAAAAAAAAAAAAAAAGGAGTTGTGCAGCTGTTTGCACCACTGGTTCTGTACCATGCACTTTAACAAGTTAAAATGCAAGAGCAATGTGGCCTATTTAAGGGTTTTAATAGCTGCCTCACAGCTAAAATAAACAAGCTCCTGCTAGAAAAAGACAGGGCTCTGTACTTTTAAAGAAACCAAGGACAAGGCAGAGAGAGGGATGACACAATAGGGCAGTATTAAATGACTGAAATGAAAATAATTTGTCCCAAGTTAACTGTTCTGTGCCCCATTTAAGCAAAAGTCTCCAGATTTCTAGCTCCATCTTCAGCACAGTGAATACAGATTAAAATCCAGAGACAGGATTTTCTTTTTCCATTTTGAATACTGTAGTTTCCTATGCCCCAGTTTTCACAACTATGAAACAAGTGCATTCCATAGCATTTGTGCAGTCTTGTGAGCTCAGCAAGACGAGAGGTCCTGTCTCCTTTTCCCTGAGGGAAGCAAACACCAAGTTATAGAGCATCATGTGAAAAATTATTCCAGGCAAGCAGACCTGTGTATTTGTGTTCCAATGCCAGAAGTAAAGCTATTTTATCTCAAAGGAACATCAACTGCAACCTGAAACAAACATGCTGTGCCTGTCAGACTGTCTGTGCTGTCCAACCATCAACCAGCAATATGCCAATTCCAAATAATTCTTGTGTTCTCCTCTACTATACAAAAAAACTTGCAAAAACAGTATCTTGCCTTCTCTAAAGAGATAATTACTGATTTTCTCTACCTGTTTTCTGTGATAAATCAGTTCACCATCATTTTTTGCTACCAAGTAAATGGATCTGTCCTGTGAGAGTAATTTTCTTCTAACATGAAATAAAGGCCTGCTAATCTGGTATCACTTGGAGCAGTGAGTGCAGCTGGAAGTGAAACAAATTTTGTGCAAGTACTACTTTTACCAGTTCCAAGGGCATGTTTTTTTTTTTTTTTTTTTATCTGGTATCACTTGGAGCAGTGAGTGCAGCTGGAAGTGAAACAAATTTTGTGCAAGTACTACTTTTACCAGTTCCAAGGGCATGTTTTTTTTTTCTGAGAACTGCTCTTAATCTTTCCTGTAGGCTGGAAATCCTCTTCCCAGGGTGTGCTAAAGTATCACACTAGCTCAGCTGCTGCAGCAGAGTCCTCAGAATGTCTAGGAAGAGGGTGACGAGGTGGAGCTGAACTACAAGTTCTTAAATTAAGAACACAAAACAAAACACAACCAACTTTTCATTGGAAGAGCTACAAGACTGTATTTGTCCTTAAAAATGTCTTTGATCAGAAATCCAGAGATCTGTCAAATCATAATACAAAAACAAATGCTGTGAACAGTTTCAGAAGGAAGAGCTCAGTTGGCAGGAATGCTGAGCTCCGGATATTGAGCTCTTTGATCTTTCCACTTTACCTTTCAGGAGATGAAAGGAAATCTCTGCTTTTGTAGTCAGAGAGTATGGCACAAGTATGGGGGTACAAAATACTACTTTATTGTAAGAATTCCTAGATCAACCTAGACTAAAGGAAGACTGCCTCTCCCTCCATCTCAGCCTTGATTATAGCTACCCTTGGAGAAGCAATCCAAAACTATTAAGGGTGACAGTGTTTCCTGCCACTCCCTTCCTATGCTTTCTGACAACAGTCTGCTTTCTGTTCAAGCTTGTGCACCATCACCCCTGTACTCAGGTGCTTCTCTGCTTTCCCTCTATTCCCACTCTGATACTCCAAGATCCAAGCCCTCTGCCTGCCAAGTGCTGCACTGTGTCCCAGAACGACCCTTTCCAAATTCCTTGCCACGAAGTCATCCAGTGAAATACAGAGAGAGCCTGTTACAATGCCACTCCACCCCAAGTGCTCTCCCTTCTGCTGTGTCCAGTAAAATTCCGACTTCCAGAATGGAAAATTTCATTTCAAACTTCCATAAAGTTGCAGTGAAATGAAAACAGAAGAAGCTAACAGAACCTGATGTACTATTTTGGAAACCCTGACCCCTCAATGTAGCTTCTTGCCAGAACACACTTGTGAAAAAAATGTTATTTGCAATTAAGTCAACATTGCCCCAAACAGTTTTCTGCCACAGCTCAGACTAAGCAAATAGCATCACCTCTTCTGGCTTTTTTAGATGCCTTAGGGCTTTTGTTTATCACATTAGAGATTCCCAAAAACACTCACAGAGCTGAAGCTTTCTGTATGTGCTTTTAAGTCCAGAATTTAAAGTGATTTATAATCAATTTATATTAGAAGAACCAGCATTAGAAGAGCATATTGCTTCAAGTCAGACACTGATTCTTTCCTCCTCATATTTTAAGTTAACTCAGTCTTGTCTGTTCAGCCTATTGTAAATTATTGTGAACAAAAACATGTTGCATGCTTTTTCTTTCTAATAAATACTAACCATTATATTGAGAAAGCAGATGTTTTTGTACTTTTCAATTTGTACAACTCCTTAGACTCCTTTTGCTCAGAACCAGGAAACAAACCACCTATTTCAGAAATACTTTGATATCAAGTTGCCTTCATGTTACATTTTAACCTGGCTAAGTTCACTTTAAGGTTTGCTACACAGTTATGGAATCATGATTCTACATTTACCATTTAGATTGGTTATACATTAACAGCCCTGCTGCCTCCCTTCTTCCATCCGTTCAGAGAGAACCCCCTTTCTACCAGGCCTACACAGCCTCCTCAGAGGGACCACTCACATCCCAGATCTACTCAGACATCTGAAAAACTCTCACAGGAATATGCAAGAAAGCCACCAAACATTAGCCACTGCTTTTACCAGCACCCAAATGCATTCTGTGAACAGTCTTGAGCAGCTCTCGGGTGGCAACAGCTTTAAAACCACTGCAAGTATTGTGAAAAACACAAAGAGACAAACACACCTCACAAATCAGAAGTTCAGGTATCAGTCTATTTTTCTGTGCTCCTTGAACAAAGCATTAAGTTTCTGATCTGCTAGCACAATGACAAAGGATTTTCTTGGAAACCCATTTTTACTATATTTGCCAGTGGTATCTTGTACAAGCACAGAATTCCTTCCTGCATCATGTGCTCCCTGCTGGAGAGGGCAAGTTTTCAACTGCTTATTAAAGTAATCCCATAGGATGCTATGTAGGTTTCGAGTCTTCAGTGAAATGAGTTTTCTACTAGAAAAAGTATACTATCACCTCAGTAAGATAAAAACTGAATCAAACATGACTGCATTGCTTGTCAGAACCAAACCAGTTCTAGTTAAAGAGAGGCACAAACAGACTCACTGGCCACAGGTTTAACCATGAGAACAGCAGGCAGCTCCCAGGACACATGTAAGAAGTCAGCATCAATGGATGATGTTGTGGGGGATGGTAATTTTCTTGCTTTTGTGTAATCTCTAGAGACAGCTGATATCATACAGCTGCTCCAGCATTACCACCGTTGGAGAATTACTGAAATAACCATCTCATTACACACAGTAATGAAACTGTATTTTATTATAAGCAAAACAGCTTTTATATCACCAAGAAACCAGGATCTATACACTTTAAGAGCTACCCATGTGGAAATCACTTAGAAATCAACTTATACTTCCAATTAGAGGGGGAAAAAAAGGTATGGAGTGTTACAAAGAAACAAAATCAACCCCAATTGTAACTGGAAAAAAAAAAGCAGATCTCATTATGCAACATCTGCCAATATCCTGGTCCTTCCAGACAACAATAGCTAGCTCCAAATCACAGTATTCCAAAATAAAAGTGTGTACTTGCTCAAACTTGCTCAATGCTTTCTGCTTACCAATTCCAGACTTGCTTTTTGGCAAAGAAAATCTACTAGTCCACACAGTGTGCTCTTCAGAACCATTGCAGCATTTCCTTCTTTCCAAAAAAGAAAACAGCACAGAGTCACAGAGTACATAGACTGCATCTTTGTGGAGAAAAAAGAAGGCAAAAAAATGGGGGTGTGGAGGGGTCTCTGATGCAGTGAAAAAGCTACACACTCAAAGACAACAGCAGAAGCATATCTGGGAAGCCTGGAGAAAGGCAGGGAACCATCTTCAGTATTCTGCATTGAAAGGGTAGCCCTTGTGAGTTTTGCACCTGGAGGAAATCAAAAAGCAAAGATTATCTCGCATCCCAAATGCATTGTATGCATCTGTAACCACTTGGAAAAAACACCAAGGGAAGAGACTAACTGTATAGAAGCAAAGTCTGTTTCTCTTTTCCTTGGCGACATGCTGCATTTCCAAACAGATTTTGGGTGCCTTCTGTTGTTTGGGTGATGGGACCTAGAGGTGCTTTGTAGACAACTAAGTCAAGGTTTTGCTATGTACTGACAGGAAAATAGCAAAATTTGCAGCCTTACAAAAAAGATTTTATATCTGGATCTGCACTTCCAAGTAGCAAATCCTGAAGTTATATTTTGAATGTTCATCTACCTTCCCAACAACTCCTGAAGAAGACACAGATCGTGTAATGTACTTAGGACAAAACACCACAAGCAAAGCTAATCAAGATTTTATGCTCATTCCTCTAATATGGACAAAAAAAAATTACAAATAAGAAGCCTCCTGTTGCAATTCCAGCTACAAAGAGTTTCTTGGCAACTGAACTGAAAATGAAACTTGCTCAATGCTCATCATGTTTTGGTTCATAAAATGAACATTGAAAAAAAAAATCTTACTCTGGAAAGTTATTTTGAGGAAGACCCCTTTGAAAACTGAGTTTGCGTATCTTGAATTTCAGTCAAGACTACCACCTGTAACTTCATTTACTGAACTATGTGATGACTTAATAGTTTAAAGAAAACAAAGTACCACTTACATTAACATTTCGCAGACTCTCCAGTTTCTATTAAAACTGAGAATAGTTGCCATCTCCTCTTTAGTCAATTCAAAGTCAAACACCTAACAGGAGAAAAAGCCAGAAACCACCTCTTTGAACAAATCAGTGCTTGCAAGCAAAAAAGATTTAGGAAAAAAAAATCACAAAATTAAAGAACAAGACCACAGTGTAGATGCTTGTTGGAAGTGACTGCTTCATGAAGGGAAAGGAAAAAGACACAACCCTCCGGATTCCTGAGCCTCCTCTAGCTGGATTGGGAGAGGGAGGTGAGCAGGGAGAGGCAGGAATTACAGAATCTCAAGTTGCAGTTACATGCCAGTTGTTTTAAGAAGTTTGGGAAGCACCGTGTAGCAGAATGCCTCCATCTCCCATTTGCAAAGAATACATCTTTCTGTGCTAAGCCAAAGTAGTAGCTGCAAGACCTCCATATTCCACCTACAGCTACTGAGTGTTTGGGAGCAAAATCCTAATACTGGGTCCAGAGTCCAGGATCACTGCATCCAGAACAGCAACCTAGTTTAGGGGCACCAGGACTATAGCCTTAAAAGTACTTGCTCTACAGAAGTCTTTTGGGAGTGCTACTGCACTCAGGCCCCAAATAACCTGTCAAATGACTCATTCACATGACACAAAACAGGAAGAATCACAATGTCACTGCTCAGATTATCAGGATACAGTGTTTCCCAAAGCTTTGGTCACTCCTGCTCTCCCATTGTAATCTTAAATTGAGCCCTCAGGAGACTGTAAGTAAACATATGGAGGAAAAGCCCAGTCCTCTTGTCAGAAGAACACCTGGGAAGGGTGAGAAAGGATCACTGCTTGCTGTGCAGGGAGAAGCCAAGCCATCCCTGGACATGCCATGCACTCAAGCTCATTCCTAATGACTCACCTGGAAGTTCTCCACAATGCGCTGCGGTGTGACAGATTTGGGGATCACAACCACATTTCTCTGGATGTGGAACCGGATGAGAACCTGCAAGAGGCACATCACTGCATCAGAGGGGGGATGGCTCTTGCTCCATGCAAGCAGAGCCTGTTTAGCAGTTACTGTAAATGGTACAATTCAGCAGTATTAACCCACTCTTTGGAGCTGCTTTTCAAATTACACCTGAATTCTAAACAGCACTTCCTAAAGTGCATGTAGAGGAGTGGTGAAATCCCACAAGGCTTGCTTTCTCCTCTCCCCTGCAATTTAGTGACACTCAATTCCTTTCCTTGTCACCCAGGTTTTGAGTAGGCTATTGAAATGTTTCCTTCTTTGCAGCAGCACTTGAGATGGGAAGACAAACACAGCAACATCTGAAGATGGGTCAAGAAAATGTTTCTTGTGATGATCAGAGCACCCTTGTGAGCATGCATGGAAGGCCACGTAAGGAACAAACCTGCATTGCTGCCTAACACCACAGGTGACAGGGAACAAAGAGCCAGCTTGTCCTCTACACTGCTATTAGCTTGTACTACAGGAAGGGATACTCTGGTACCTACTCACCTGTGCTGGGGTTTTATTGTGCTTGGCTGCAATTTCCTTGATCTTGGGGTCATCCAGCAGGGAAGGATCCTCTGGCTTAGCCCTACACAGAGGAAACAAATCAGTGGCAAGAAACCTCCATAGGTCCAGCCTAGTAAAGATCTGTATCTGGATGAAAAATTGATGCTGCACATGTAGTCTCAGTGCTTCCAGAATAATCCACACCAGCTCCCTGGCAAAGCAATCTTACCATGGTCTGTCAGGAGAGCCAAGGGGGCTGTATGCTGTCACAGCAATCCCCTTGGATTGGCAGTACTTGATCAGCTTCTCCTGGGTAAGGTATGGATGACACTCCACCTGTCAACATAAAAAGTATAGACACTGACAGTGATTTAACTGCTTTAACATGTTCCAGGGATTAGTTTTTAATCAAAGGCTAATTTTTGTGCTAACTCAATAGTCTCTAAGCAATATTATACAGTCTTTATTTTCTCTATGCCCCACCCCCTTACTACTATTTAATAGTAGCTCTCCCTGCAGTGAAGGGTCCAAGGACTGTGACAAAACTTCAGACCTTGCTGATCCAGATCATCTCCAGCATATGAGTGACAGGCTATACAATTGCTTCAATGGGACAGTAAAATGCACACCCAGGAAAGCTGTAAAATCACAGCAATATAATTGCAGATTAGGGAAGTACAAAGTTCTTTCTTCATCCCTAATTAAACATGCCATAATATTTTTTTACAGCTACCATATTAACTTCAAGGTCAGCATTGTTCCATAAGTCTTTCGTTGCTTTGTGTCAATAGTCACATTAATCACCTCCAGTCTGAAAATGTTGAGAATGGTTGCCTGCTACTGATTTTAGACCTTCAGTCGACTGCCCATTAAGTTTTGCAAACACACATGCACTTAGCATGAACTTCCCTAAGAATAGCTGCATAATGAATACAGACTCCTTCCCAGTGGGTCTGTGTTCTGGCAGGCAAATGCACAGATGGGGACTATAGAACAGGAACTGTTCATGTGTCAAGAGGCAGTGAATGAGCATGAATATTTGATACTTTGCACAGAGGGACTTTCAGGATAGCTGCACACCAGGGAGCACTACTTTTCTTCCAGCAGGCAATAGCAAGAACCATTTGGACTACACTGCCATTTGAGCCTCCTGCAGCTGCACTCTGAGGGCAGTCCCTGGAAACTTGTGCTGCTGGCAGGTGGAGCAAGGGAGTGCCAAACATGGAATCAGTTTACAGCCTCGAGCGCTGTACTTGTGGTTCTAGCTGCCTGCTGTTATCAGAGGCCTGCATGCCTCTTTCCCCTCTGAGACATGCTGGAATATTAAGCAGAACAGAAAGCTCCATTTTTAGGACATATTATACATATTTATTTTGCTTCAGCAGTTGCAGAAAGCTATTTAAGAGTAATAGAGCATCTAGTTTTCTCAACTATTAAGTAAGTCGAATTTATGCAACATAAGCAAGGCACAGTCATCCTCACCTCTCCACTGGCACTCAAGTTGAAAAATTAAATTAAGTACTAGCACCATTGTTATGTAATTACTACCTTGCCAAATTAATGTCTCGCTACAATTGAAACCAACACAACCTGGCTGCATTCAAATAAAGAGTAGGAATGACAAGGAAGACAGTGGATTACATGTGAAATATCTGCACAGGGAAAGTGCTTTCAGGAAGCACTCTCACTATTAGCCCAACTGGAAAGTGTTAGTAGTAGCAAGCTTTCAGGCTTGCAAACATTTCTTCAGAAGCAGTAGTTTACGAAGGACAGGGATCAAAGACCCAATGCTTTGTGCTAAACTTGATTATAGTCAATAATAATTTAGAGCCTGAGGGCATTGACAAATGTGAGAGGTCCAAGATCAGCAACCCTATGCCAGAAATAAGGTAATTGATATGATAATATTAATTATACATTATTATAATATAATTGTCATAGCGATCATGACAACAAGGTGTGGCAGATGTTGAAAGGTTACCTTAAAACTTGCACTAAGTTTTCTGAAAGTGCTTTGGGACAGATAATGCTCAAGTTACCACAACAAATGACCTAGTTTTACTGATCAGTAATTGATTAGAGTCCTTCAAATGCCATAAGAGTCCAGGTCAACTCTAGGCAGACCCCACTGGAACCTATCCTGGGACTTGTCCTCTTGAGCAACCTGTGCCAGTCTATAATCATGTCAATCTGGCAGGACTGCCACTGCAGCAGGACCCATTCAGGCAGAAACAGCAGGCAAACAAAAACCCAAAGCAATTCAACAAGGCTGCACACCAAGTCATGCACCTGGGAAGGAAAAGCCCCTGGCAATAGCACAGGCTGGAACCTGACTACTTGTAAAGCAGCCATGCTAGAAAGGACTTGGGGGAGTCATAACAGACTAAGTAGGACACAACCAGCAGTGAGCCCTGGCAGCAGGAACACAGCCAGTAAATTGTGAGAAGCGATCATTCACCTCTAACTCATCCTTGCCAGGCCACCTTCATAATACTGTGTCCAGTTTTCCTCTTCCCAGCTCCCCTCAGTAGCAGAAATACTGACAGACTGCCATAATTCAGCAGAGAAACTCCAGGATAGGTAAGGGCTGGAGAACCTGCCATACTGGGAAAGGCTGAGAGAGCTGGGCTTGTTGTGCCTGGGGAAGGGAAGGCTTCAGGCCTACTAGTAGCAGCTTTGCAGTACCTAAAAGGAATTCATTCAAAGACAAGCCAAGTTCTTTAGTGGTGCTTGGAGGAAGGCAACAGATGCAAGCTGAAAACAAGAGAAGTTGAGACTGTATGTAGGAGAACTCCCCCTCCCTGTCATACACATAGGGGGGCTCAGGGAGCAGAGCACACTGCCTAGGGAGGCTGTGCAGTCTCCATCCTCACAGATTTTTGAGACAGATAAAGCCCTGGACAACCTGGTCTGATCTCAGGGCCGATGTTCCTCTGAGCAGATCATCTCCCAAGGTCTCCTGCCATCTGAATTCTCCTAAGATTTCATTCAAGTGCCATCTATACAATTTCTACTCTATCGCTCACTCTGCAACTCCATCTCCTCCTTCCTCCTAATCCTCATTAACTCTTGAGGCCATAAAGCACATTTCTGATCAATTCCCTCAGTCATCAATAACTGCCTTCTCCACAGAAGCATCATGGAAAGATCATCCAATTTTCTATATATACATACAGCAAGTCTTACTCTACTGCAAGGAAGTTTTTAGAGCTCATCTGAGTTCCCCTTCCTTTCCTCCTACAAGGATGGATTCTGGAGCTGCTCACTGCCAGATTTCCAAGCAGTGGCACAGAATTCATAAAAAACCAGCACCTTGGCATCACCTGGAGGGTGAAATTGAAGAATATGTAGTCTGTGAAGTAGATATGTCTACTCCAGTCTTTCTTTAGCCTTATTTCAAAGTAAAGTGTTTGTAATTAAAAAAAAAAAAATAACAAAACCACAACAAATGACCACACAAAAAAAAAATACCACCAAACACTTGCCTCTGCCACTTTGCAGCTCACCTGATTATTTGCAGGTTTGTACTTCAGTCCTGGCTTGTTCAAGATTCTTTCAATCTGCTCATGGTTGAAGTTGGAGATGCCAATGGCTTTTACCAGGCCAGCATCCACCAGCTCTTCCATGGCCTGGCAGAAAGAAGCACAAAGTCAGCATCTAATATACAAAGGCAGGGCCTGAACAGCACATACTTCCTGACATGCCTTGTTTCCTTCATAAGAAACCTAAACGAAGTGTTTACGTTTTCAGAGTTTAGGCTTGAAAAAAACCCAAAACAAACCCAGAGCACTGGTGTATACATACCATGCTTCCCATACTCAAAGCACTCATTCTTGGAGATTATGGAAATTCACAGCAAGTTAGAAGTGGAAGATGATTAATTGATACATGACAATTTGCTGTTGTACCAGTGAGTCTTTCCAATTAATTCTACGTACATGAGATTATCTTCTGTTCTCAGCAGTCTCTGATGTTCTCATTACCTTCATCAGTTTAAACTTTCTCCTGCAGTGGCTGAACTCACCTCCCATGTCTGCAGAATATCTGTGTTGCTGGAGATAGCCATGCCTTTCTCATCTACAGGGAACAGGTCCTCTCCTGCCTATCAGTGAGAGAGAAATTGCTTGAAACACACATTATTGGGAGATTGGGCTAATACCAGCTGAAGACTATGATCCCATAAACTCTTATTACAGGACAAACGAATCCTTATTATACTAATTATCTACATATGTATTAGACTTTAATACTCACTATCTATAGTCTCCAGTCTTTTCTTTTGTGTTCTTATGGTACTGTGGTGGATTTTTTTTTGCCTACAGTCAAGCCAGTAAGGACAGATACTTCTGATGAAACTGTCCCCTGGCTCATCAAAATCCATATGGTGAAACACTTAAGTCTCCACTTGTAATACAGAAAGTAGAACTATAGCCAGTTTACAAATATATACAGTTGTTATCTGCTCATAATGAAGTGTTTCAGTGAAATACATAATAAGGACCCATTTAGGACTTGGAATAGATTCACCTTGTAGTGGACCAGATTTCCTGACAGATGGGGAGCCTCATTGTTTAAGCTCTGGCACAGGGAAGGTTAGAACACCCTATTTCCCAATTAGGACTATCTTCCAGGTATCAACTTCATTCAAAACCAGTTATTTTCTACTCATTCATTATTTACACCAGAACACATTTTCACTTTGATAGTTCTGTCCATGTGAAACTAATTTTTAAAATACAGATGTTATGAAGAACAGTTCATCTTGGTAGCAAGTGGTAGAGAGAAAATTTTGATCAAGTTCTCACTAAAAGCCTAAGCTTGGACATATTTAAACTGCGACATCAGTTCCTTTGCATGCAGACAGTGCCAGAGTTAAGAACTAAAAAGTTTAACTCTAGAGCCTGTGGAATGCTAAAGCTCCTATAGGAAAGGTCACTTCAAGCTGATTGTATTTAAAAGGATTCAGTGATTAAAGAGAGAAATAAAAGACAATCAATCTCTTATTCTGTAACATACAGAGGAAAGAACTTCAGTCAGACAGCAAAGTATAACCCTCTTCCCACAAAGTGAGAACCACGCTAGGCATAACTGGATTTGTAGAAGACAAAACAAGCAATAACCAAAAGGAAAGAGATATGACTTCTGCTTCTAGCAGGGAAACCCATCCCTAGGGTTCCAGGTCCGCCTCTTCAATGGCCAAAAGGGCAGCAGATACCATGCAAGCAGGGATCTCAGAGGCAAAACTCAACAGACTGGCTCACATGGCCACAGTAAAGCTGAGCACCAGAGCAGTGCTGTTACACAATACACACAGAATGATCTGTGCAACTGCAACCATCACTGGGCTATAAAGCCATATAGCTCCTCATAACTTTAGCCACTCATAGACAGAGTCGAGGGCCCTGCTGTTACTGTACCTTGAAACCAAGAGGCCAGTGGATGAGGTACAGATCCAAGTAATCCAGTTTCAGGGCAGCAAGAGTCTTCTGGCAGGCTCCCTTCACCAGATGCTTCTCATGAAACGTGCACCACAGCTGGAGACAAAAAGCCAAGGCATATTGTGACCTCTCGGGTTAAAGCTCTTGGAACTCTTCTGTACTGTTCAGCAGGGTGCCTGTCCCCTTGGGAAAGTGATGTGAAATCATGTCATCCTACAGCTCTTCAAGTGGGGCTTGTTCTGTGAGCAGCACTGGCCTGTGATACCAGGCAATGTGTGCAGTGGCAGCACATATGATTGCACGGTGTCCTGGCAGATAGCAGAAGTAGTCTTGTTTCACTTATTAAGACTTAAGTTGAGAGTTTCACCCAAATTTGTGGTATGGACCCTGCATAATTCTCAATACAAGATGACAAAGTAGGAACCTCAGGAATGGCTTCAGTGATGTTCTGAACTGCTCCACACTGCACAACAGAGTAGGTAATAAAGAAGTGGGGAGTTACTTTAAAATAAAAAGGTATCCCCTGTATCACCAGACTCGTACCTTACTGACAACAAAGAGGTCCTCTCGTTTCACAACGCCTTCCTTGATTTTCTTCTGGATCCCTTCCCCAACTTCGTTCTCATTCTGGTACACATAGGCACAGTCGAAGTGGCGGTACCCGGCATCGATGGCAGCCGTCACCGCAGCTGTCACCTTCCCTGGCTGCGACTGCAAAAAGCGATGGCAAAAAAACCTCTCATCAACACAGCATTGAAGACCTTTCTCACGGCAAGATAAGACAGGGAAAGCCACCGCATCCAAAGCAAACCCCAACTAAAACAAAGCCAAATCCCGGCGGCGGCCTGGCCGCGTGTCGGCGGCGCCGGCAGGGCCCGAGCCGCGCTCCTTCCTCCCCCCTCACGCCGCCAGCCCACGGGAGCGCATCCCGGTACCTTCCAGGTGCCCAGCCCCAGGATGGGCATCTTGGCCCCGGTGTTGAGCTGCACGTAGCTCGCCATGGCCGCGCCAGCAGCAGCAGCTCCGCGGCCGAGCCGAGCGCCTCGGCTTTAATAGCGAGCAGGGCCGGCCCGCCCCGCCCGGCGCGGCGGGCTCAGGGGCGGAGCGGGCCGCGGCTGCCGCGCCGGGGCTCTGCCCGGCCGGGAGGGACGGAGGGGCCGTGAGACACCGGCGTCTCCCCGAGCCCTGAGTCCCCGCCACAGGGTGGTGGCCCTGGCTGGTGCCCCTTGCCGGGGACTTGTGGCCCTGTGCTACCGCAGCGACCCGGCAGCGCAAACCTCGGTGGTTTGTGAGAGCCAGGAGAGGCTGTTCCTCCGCCAACTTCCACTGGGAGCTGGGGCTTAGGAGTAACTTTTATGATAGAGTGCATCTAAAAAAAAAACAACCCAGGTTTATTTTGAATTTTGGAAGAGGTTTTTTGCGAGTGTTTTGAAAGTCTAAAAAGAGAAACGGTGACTTTTAAATGAGTGGCATAATGATCGTGTTGTCCCTCTGTCTTTAGGGAGGTGCTGAGGACATTGCAGGATAAAATGCACGATTGTAATCACAGGCGGTAGTGGCCAGTGGCAGTCTCCCATCAGAAACTGGCTTTGATGCTTTTGCAGACAAGCATTCGCTGTTCTGCTGAAGACGTCACAGTGCAATGGAAAAACCCAGACTTGCCTGGGAGGCTTTGCTGCTTATTCACATGTGAAGGGTTTCTTCAGGTGCGAGCATTTTGCTCTGGATGCCTCTCTCTGCTATCTGCAGCTTCATATTTTTTGCTCCATTTAGCTAAGGACAGCAAGGTAATTGGTTTTCTTCTTTAATGTTCCTCCTGCTTCATATCAGCACCATCAGGCATCCCTGGCAGGATGCAATGTGCTTTCACTTGGATCACAAAATCTTTACACAACTTGATGCTTATCTTTTGCCGCTTGGGTTGAATTTTCCCTCATGGTTTCAAGTCAGAGAGATGCCTCCATCCTGTCACAAGAGGCTTCAGGCAGAAGTTTTGTATTTTGTTTTTGCTGTTAGCTCTTGTGAGTTGGAGCCTTTCCTCTCAGAGCTGTAAGACCAGTCAGCTTTCCACTGTTTGCCTCTCCTGAAAATCTGGTGGGGGCCTTGGGGGAAGAAGAAGTACTGCATGAGTCACCTTGTGACAGTCAGGCTGCTAAATCTTGTGCCCTGTGTCCTTGGCCATGTCTTTACAGAGAGCACTGACATTGAGGAACTGTGAGGGGGAGGAGGGTCTTGCTTTCTTTTTTTTTCCTTGATCCACGTGCACTGGAACAGGAGGAGTAATCTCATGAGTTTTCAGTTTGTTTTGCTGACTTTGCATTTAGTAACTGTAATTTCACCACAAGTTGTGACTTTGGTGACCAGTGGTGTTTGGAATCTGAGAACAGAACCCAAAATAAGGGAAGTGGGTATGTCCTTATGGACAGCGCTTACCAGAGAGACCCAGTGGCCCACTGAGAACACCTGAAGGCAAAGTAGGGAGGTGACAGTGTTGTGAGGTGTGATCATATCTACAACTAAGGGGAAGAGCTTCAGGGGTCTGGAGCTTCTACCCAGAGACACAGGGCACAGACACAGGCACAGCTTGAACCAGGGTTTGGAGGTGAGGACATGCAGATTTCATGCTTGAATCACTGGGATGCATAGCAGGAATGTCTGCTTCACTTGGAGGGGAGACTTATCTTGCTCAGTGGGGGGTTCCATTTCAATCTCTGGATGCCAGGAGGTAGATCTCAGGGGCTTGGCCAGCTCTGACTGCAGAAGACCTCGGCCTCTTTTTCACTCTGAGCTCAGATCAGTCCAGGAGCACACCTTGGTGGATCTCCCATATTGTCAGAACTGATGATGCTTTTTGTCTTCATGCTTTTGTCCCTTAATTGCCTCTGCTGAAATAGCAAGCTCTGGGCACAGCCAAGGATGAAGAAGTAATCTTGCCATCCCTCTGTGGTGATTATTGTGTGGGGAATGGCAGGTATAGTGCAGGAGGCAGCCTGGACAGGAGGAAACCATGAACTGCCCCAGGCTGGTCAGGACTGATTCTGGCTGGCCCTGAAACTGGTGCTATACTTTGGGGTGACTGAATTCTGGCAGATGGGAAGAACCTTTGTGTCCCCCACACAGTCCCCCTGGCCCCTGAGAAGCAGGGCACCACCTCACTCCAAAGGAGGGCCCTGTGGTCTGGGCCACCCCTGCTGGGCAGGACAGTGGCAGCCCTGGAGACAGCAGACTGCCCACCTAGGAGCTCTAGGACTCAGTAAGCAGAACTGAGTGGTGAAAGGAAGCATCAGGCAACCAGATCACCCTCTGAGCCACCCTTGGTTCCAGGGAGGGACTGGGATAGCCTGGATGTAATCTGTGGTGATAAAGGCAAGGTGGAGAGGAGGACAGAGAGCAGATTGGTGTTTGGCTTAAACAGAGGCTGGGGAAGGGGAAGAAAGGTAAATGCCTTTTATCTCTCCTCAGTTACCCTGAATCCCAGCCCAGAAGTGTATTAGTGAGAAGAGCTCTGGAAGGAACAATGATCCTGGCCCTGGGAATACACAGTCCTGGAAGTGGAGCAGCCAGTGCATGTCCAGGGGGAGTACACACAGTGTGCAATTGCCTGAAGAGAGGAGGCACCTGTGCTGGGTGGGTCGATGACTTGGAAGAGGGAAACAGATGCTTTCTGAAAGCTGATGGCAAAGTGAAAACAAAGCTTCTTCAAGCAGCCTGACCTGCAAGGTTAGGTAGGCCTGTGGAGGTGGGAGTGCTGCTCCCCAGAATCTGAATGCTCTCTTGACATATAAATTGCAGATCCCTTGATAGGGATGGCAGTGATGACCTGTGTGGAGACCACTGAAACAGATATAAACACCCTGTCCCATGCCAGCATTTAAGCTCACAGTACTGTGACTCAGGAATACTTCTGGAGACACAGGTGCACTTTTTGAAGGAGATCCATGCTGAAAGGACTTAATTCCAAGGAGACTGCAGCTGGTAGATGAGTTATGCTTGAACAAGGAAACCACTGAGGGCTCTATGGGCACTGTAACCTGTGCTGGAGTAGGTATTCTCTAATAAGACAGTGCTCCAAACTTCTGCATCATAGTAACATTGTACCTTTATTGTCCAATAAAAATGTGTATTTGATCTCAGCAGAGCTAAGTCTCATCTCAGCCTGGGGATTTCAGAAGGTTTTATAGGATGCTTCCTTTAGGAAGCTGTGAAGCAAATGTTCTTGGATTACATTTTCATGAATTGAAAGTGGAAATTTTGAAAGAAGTCCATGAGGTGCTCGTTTTCTTCAGCAAAATTTTGATCTTTTGCCTTGAAACCCAGTGTGCAACTTCATTATTGGATTTGGCCACCCGCCCAGGGATTGGGAGCAGAAAGGTGACACGGCCCCAAAAGCAAACACCTTCTGATGCCACCTGGGACTCTGGGGCCAAGGGTAGTGGCACATGGGTGGCTGGGCTGAAGGGGGAGGCAGATTGAGCTAGAGGGGCATCAGCCGGGAGAATTTGGCCCCGAGGCTGGCAGGGCCAGAGGGGATGCCGGCACTTCGGGGGCTGAGCTCCCCGTGCCAGCAGCCAGACCCCCGGGCTGTGTGACATCAAGGATGTCCCTGCCCTGGCGGGGAGGGGACAGCGCGGGTGGTTGAGGGATGGCCGCCCTCTGCTGCCCGCAGGGAAAGGGGAATGTGCCCTGTCCCAGGGAAAATCCACACGCTCAGGAGGAAACCTGCCTGAAAATAGTGCTGACCGCACACCTGTGTATTTTCTGCTTATGGAATTTTTTTTCCCCCGCTAAGGAAAAGTTTTTCCTAAGTAGGAAAAACTCCTTTCTCAGTTACTTCTGGAGTGATAAAGCTGCTGACCTTTAGTTCACATTTCTCAGATTTTTCTCCCATAACTTCCAACTATCCTCCTCAGCCTGTTGTGTTGAAGCAAGAGAAATTAAGAATGTGAATGTGTAGTTCAAAATCTCTCGCTTGCTAAATGTGGATTACTCAATCCACATTTTGAGAAAAAATTATTAGAGCCCCCATTTTATTTACAGCAACTTTACTGTTTCTTTCAGAAAGAGTAAACAAAAGATGATCACTGAATACATATGCTGTGACTTCAGTAGCTGCAGGAGGAGAAATTCAATAAGAAATTCAGAGAACTTGATAGGAAGAATATCAGACCAAGCTCTGAAGGAGGGCAGGATATGAGCATCTTCAGTATTCTGCATTGAATGGGTAGTCCTTGTGAGTTTTGCCCCTGCAGGGAATAGAAGACTTTGTTTTAGTCATAATTTTCTTGTCTAGTTTTGCTTAAAGAAGCCACTAAGGTGGGATCTGAACTCTGTAAATGAAGCATGGGTACAGCCCAGATTTGTTTTCCTCTATAGTATGTCTTTTTTGTACACTTGGAACATCCCAATCACTTCATCATTCAGGCTCTTGGCATTCTAGGCAGTATTTAGATGTAAAACTTCTGTATATATAGTATTCTTAACTTATGGAGAAAAATACTGAATGCTACCACTTACATGCTCATTGTATAGACTCTCCAGTTTCTGTTAAAACTGACAATAGTTGCCATCTCCTCTTTAGTTAATTTGAAGTCAAACACCTGAAAAGAGAAACATCTGGGAATCACTTCTTTGAACAAACCAGAGTCTGTAAGCAAAATCCACAAAATTAAAGAACAAGTCTCCAAGGGAGGATAGCTCGTTAGAAGACATGACTGCTTCATGAAAAAGGCACCTCTCTGTATCACCAAGAGTGCATTGGCAGAGAGAATAGAAAAATTCATCCAAAGTTGCAATTACACGTGCCAGCTGTTGCAGGGCACTTGGCAGGCTCTTGCATCTGCCACTTGTGAGAGATGCCTCTTTCTGTCCTATTTCAAAGGCATGTCTACAAAAATTCCATATTTCACTTAATCTATCTAGGCTTTTTGAAATCCCAATGACCTGTTGCAGGCAAAGACCACTGAATTAACAACAGAGCAGCATGGTTTGTGAACACCACAACTGTTTTCTTAACACTGCTTGCTCTACATTAGCTTTTTGTGGTGTGCGCTGCTGCACTCAAGTGCCAGTGAAAAACCATGTGGCAATTCATCTCCAGTCTGCAGAATACAAAACACCATGTAAAGTAACTGCTAGAATTACCAGCATACTAAATAAGACTTGGTTCATTCCTGCTCTCCAACTGTAACCTTAAGTTTAGCCCTTAGTACAGCGTTTAAACAGACAAAGTGTGTAAAAAGCCTGGTGTTCTTGCCTGAGCAGAGAAGAATGATAAAGGATCATCTCCCTTGCTGTGTAAGGAGAAGCCAAATCATCCCTGAGGGGCAGCTCCCAGCTCACTCCTGATCCCTCACCTGGAAGTTCTCCGCAATGCGCTGTGGGGTGACAGATTTGGGAATCACAATCACATTTCTCTGGATCTGGAAGCGAAGGAGAACCTGCAAGGACAGACAACGGAATCATTCCTCTTGCTCTGGAGGAAGCAGAGCCTGTTCCAACAGCTATTATCCCTGCAGCCCTGGTTGCCCTGCCTGAAAAGAAGAGAGGGAAGTGGTGGAGCCTCACATGAAAGGCCTCCTTTCCCATTCAGTTTTGGGCCAATCAAGCCTTTCTTCTCTCTCAGACTTCTATCAAGATCAGGTGACAGGGAACAAAGAGCCAGCCTGTCCTCTACATTCTCATTAGCTGCCCTGTGTTACAGGAAGGGGTACCCACAGTCTGGCATCCATGTACCTGGGCTGTGGATTTGTTGTGTTTGGCTGCAATTTCCTTGATCTTGGGGTCATCCAGAAGGGAAGGATCCTCTGGCTTAGCCCTACACAGTGGAGAGATAACACCAGAAGTCTGTTTTGAGATCAATGGCTGATAGTACACTTACTGTTTCAGTGCTCCAAGTGTTATCCATGCCATCTCCCTCATAAATTGCAAAACAATCTTACCATGGTCTGTCAGGAGAGCCAAGGGGGCTGTATGCTGTCACAGCAATCCCTTGGGATTGGCAGTAGTTCACCAGCTTCTCCTGTGTAAGGTATGGATTGCATTCGATCTGCCAGCAGAAGAGTAGAGAGACTGATAGAATCCAGCTGTAACTCACTGCAGGGATTATCTCCTCATGCACTTAAAGGCTGCTGATTGTCCTCATGGGCCAGTCTTTGCAAGGGATTATCAGCCATAGTGTTCTACAGCACCTGCTTCTACAGTGAGATTTCTTGTACCTCTGGGTCTTTGTTCTGGGGAAGGAACATTTCAGAAGGCTCACTTCTGGGTTCTTTGGCATGTTCTGAGGTCTTTCTCAGATTTCTAAGCAGTAGCTTAGCAGATATTGAAAACCCCAGTGCCTTGTATATTCAGCAATAATGTGGAGAGGGATGAGAAAGACATGCTGCATCTGGTCTGTTTTCCCCTCCCCCCCAGTCTGTTCTAGACATAAAATGGTCCCTTTCTTAGGAATTGGTGCCCTTTTCTCATGTGCTATATGTTAGGAAAAAATGCTTTTTTTTCCTTTTGGCATGCTCTTTTTTTTGGTAACTATATTCAGAGGAAGAACTGGCAGGCTCTGGAGACTGAGGGATCTCAGTACTCTCAGTGAATAAGCAGGAAGTACTGAATTCAGAACTGCAAGAGATGTTTGAGTCTGTCCAAGACCCCTTGAAGGGATAAGCTTCTGCAGCTCCTGCACACAAAGGGGCAGTGGCTGCTGTATGCAGACAAAGACTAGGTGATTTTTATATATATGTGTGTGTATAAAACCACTTTTTTTTTTATTTTACATAAATCAGGGTAGATACCAGGAGGTGACTAGTGTGTCAGTAAATGCTGCTTATGTGTAGAAGTTAAAATTGATCTCCCTTTCCAACTGGGTGTCTGAATTGTGGATTCCTGAATGAGAAAAAACACATGTTGCATGAACAATTATCTTAACAGATTGATGCCATTACTAATAACAGAACAAGTAGTTTAAGAAGTTCTTGTCATAATTTGTGTACCACAACTACATTCCCTATCAGAACACAGATCTACAGCATTTTTATGTATACTCAGAAATGATCACAGGTCGTAAAATTGTGCTTTGTCTGCTTTGTTGTTGCTTTTTCCACCTCCTCATGCAACTGTAATTGGATCTTCATAATCCCACAAAACCTGCAGTTTTATTATCCCACTTTGCAGCTCACCTGGATGTTTGCAGGCTTGTGCTTCAGTCCTGGCTTGTTCAAGATTCTTTCAATCTGCTCATGGTTGAAGTTGGAGACACCAATGGCTTTTACCAGTCCACAGTCCACCAGCTCTTCCATGGCCTGGCATAAAGAGGAGCACAGTCAGCACCAGTGTACAAGACAGGTCCTGAAGGAATTATTCCTTGTGTGGCTTCATTTCCTTTCATGGGCAAGGAAAGACAACTGTTTGGGGCTGCAATGATTGTCTCGTGGGGAAGAGCGTATTTGTGCCATGTCTTCCATCTCACCCGAAACCAAGGGCTCCTTTCTTGAGATGGCAGAAATTCACTCTCAGATGTTTTCACATGGCAAATAAGGATAATCAATGATGTGTTCTTGAGCCAGCACCAGAGGGCTGTAGTGCAGGCTGTGGGTATGATCACAGCCTAATTTATTTCAGCAGAGTGTATTTGAGCAATTTAAGAACAGTGATGAGGACAGTTCTGTTATAGTCAACAGTCTGGCTTGCAGCTTCACTAAAGATTATCAACTTGATTGAGCATGTATGTTTTAAAAAGGCTACATTGTATATGGTGCAATAAATACATAAGAAACTTGTGACTGCTGAAGGCAATGAAAGCATGGAAAAGGCTGCCAGTAACATAAAACATGATTTCCCATCCTGGCTGAACTTACCTCCCATGTATTTAGAAAATCTGTGTTGCTGGGTATAGCCATGCCTTTGTCATCTGCAGGAAACAGCTCCTCTCCTGCCTGTCAGAAAAAAAAAACAAAAAACAAACAAATTGAAACACTCTTTTTATTGGCAAATTAATACCAAGACAACTGAAGACCATGATGGCTTGATACTAGTTCTACTAGTACAGAAAATATTAATATTTCTCTACATTGTTTCTGGCAATTTTACCAGCAATCATTCCTAGTAGGAATGATGCAGAATCATTCCTACTAGGAATGTCAAGTGTATCTCCTAGACCAAGCAAAGTGGTGACTCACTAAAACACCTGACTTGTTTATTATGATACAAACAAGCTTCCTGTAGTCCTCTACTATTCTTTTAGTAGAGAACTGGGGTAGGTTTTTTTGAAGGATCTGTTAAGGTCAGGTCCCAGGAACATTTAAGTCAGGTTTAAGCCAAGCCACATCTACTGAAGAAGGTATTATGTAAACACACGGGTGTCTTGTAAGGGGTGCCTCAGCTTAAGCTAGTGGCAAATCAGAACTCCCAAATGAACAAACTCAGAAATAGAACCCCACATCTCCACATTGCTCCACATCCAGTGTGCAGCTGTCAGAGTATTATGCCACAACACTTGTACTCAAGCTCTTTGTTCATATAAAGCTAACCATGACAGCTTTGCAAATGTGACAAACAGTTGACAAGCTCAAAAGCAACAGATAGGATGGAGGTCTTAACCTGTCTGCAGCAGAAAGAAAAAGCCAACACTAGACACAGACTGGGACATCAGATCCCTTGAAGTACATGAAGGATGAGATGTATTTAATGTGCTTCTGACATGGATGTCAGAAAATCTCACCTTTTGAAATCCAAGGTCTGTGGAACAACTTTAAGGCTCCTACAGGAAAGGTCAGCTCAATCTGTACTGTATTGAGGACTCAGTGATTAAAGAAAGAAATGGAAGACAGAAACATTCTCTTGTTCTGTGATTCTGTAACATGCAGAGGAAAGAATTTCTGTCAGGCAGCAAAGTACATCCTTCATTCCCTCAAAGCAGGAAAGAATGATTTAGCCCAAAGTAAAGCAGCATGAGTCAATCTTGCAGTTGGGAGTCCTGACCTTGTTGCTGGGTCTGCCTCTCCATTATCAGGAGGGCAGAGGATGCTGTGCAGGCAGCACTCTCCGGCAGGGATCAGGGGCACAGCAGAGAGGGGTGGGCAGCAGTGGGGCAGTGCTGGCACAGCAGGCACACGGGCTCTTTCTGGAGCAGCAGTGGTGCTGCAAGTGCTCCTGGCACTGCTGAGGAGCTCTCCCAGGAGAGAAAACTAAGGGTTTTCTGCTGCTGCTGTACCTTGAAACCAAGAGGCCAGTGCATGAGGTAGAGATCCAGGTAATCCAATTTCAGGTCAGCAAGAGTCTTCTGACAGGCTCCCTTCACCAGATGCTTCTCATGGAAAGTGGACCACAGCTAGAGAAAAAAAAACAAGGCAGATTGTGACCTCCTGTGTTAAAGCTCTTTCCTGAAGAAGGAAAAAAAAGCCAGCACACTTTCTGGGACTATTTCTGCTTAACACCTATTTTGAACAGTCCCATGAAAATGGAGAATGTGGAACACTATGGCTGGCCGTGGGCTATGTACAAGTCACGAACGGGACAGGACTGCTGAGGAACGCGTCTCGAGCTGTTTAGTTTTTAGCATCAGTCTCATTACAGGGTTATGGCTATGTGAAGATGCCAGCAGCTCACATCCAGGCAACAGACCAAGAACTTAATGTTACAAGTTACTTTATAAGCTTTTTGACCAATCACACAAAGCAAAAGCATATTGACAGTAGTTCTATCCAATCACTATGAATACATGTACCTTTGGTTAAAACAATGCTTGCTTATTTCAAATACAATACTTGATTGTAAGCCTCAAGATACAATGCACAGAGGTCCATTATTAAGCTTAGACCTTCCTAATATCTCACCAGAGATACTTTTCTGCAACTTAGGCAGTTATTCTACCCAAGCGTTAATACACAGACCATTGTTCTATTTGTCCTTTCTTTCTACTTCTTGTATAATTTTTCTGCTGACAACTCTTATAGCTACTGCTTAGCTCTAATCACCATCCTGCTGTCTCTGAGGCTTGCCTTTTGCAATGTGCCCAAAACCCTCTGATTTTAAGGAATCCCACAGAACACATCTTAAATAATGCTCTACAAAATACAGTGACAAAAAGAAGATTCAACCAGTATGGGCCTGAACTATTCCCCTAATTATTCCACACTATAGCACACAGTCTTTCCCAACTATTCTGAATTTTCCTCTCTGCATATGTTGTCACAAAGCTTTCCCCTGGATCCTAGGTCACCTTACCTTGCTAACAATGAAGAGGTCCTCTCTTTTCACAGCACCTTCCTTGATTTTCTGCTGGATCCCTTCCCCAATCTCACTCTCATTCTGGTACACATAGGCACAGTCGAAGTGGCGGTACCCGGCATCGATGGCAGCTGTCACTGCAGCTTTTACTTGCCCAGCTGGAGACTGGAAAAAGAAAGTTAAGATCCCAAATCAAAGCATACAGGCCTTTTCTTAGATACCTAGCAACTAAAGAAACATATACAGTGGGGTTTTAAGTGGAGTTTTTCCATGCCATGTTCTTAAAGCTCTCATCATCTTAAAAATGAAAGCTGCTTGGTTTGAAGCCAGCTTCCAGCCATTTATCCATAAGCCCAGTCCCAAGCAGGCTCAGCCAACAGCCAGGTAGAGCAGAGCCCCTAGCACTGCCTGAGATGGACCAGGTGGAACCAAGTTTGATGCCAGCGAGCTCTGCAGTGACTCTTGCTCAACACTCCTTGCTTCCCAGTGCTGTGTCTAAGAAGAGACACAGTCAAATGGCCCAGCTGGGAGAATTTTAGTTCTATGGGGAGGGCAGTGGTCTACAGCTTAGTCATTCATACCACTTTGGAGTGTCACGTTGTGCTGTAGCCCAGCTTGTCCTGGGGCACATCCCAGCCATCCTGTGCTGCCTTCAGAGACAGAGGAGTGCAATTCTGTGTGTTTCTATACCCTGCAAGGGCGTGTAAGAGCTGTGCACAAGGAAATGTTGGCTTATCTAGTTCACACAAATCCAGCAATGTTTGTTTCTAGGCATTGTATAGATCAGTGGTTATGTAGTCATCATAACAACAGTGCCAACCTCTTTGTCAGAACTTGCTTGAAACGCATGAATGGTCTTCTAAAGCCATACCTTGTTACTGGATGATTCTCGGGGACCTCACCCAGATCACACAGCACGGAAGCAGCAGGGAAATGCTCCAGTGCAGTGGCACGGAAAGGGGCAGGGAGAGGGGCCCAGGGAGCCGCGGGAGGTTGGTCGGGATGGCAGGGGCTGGGTGGGATCCGCGCATCCCTCGAGGGTACGGGAGGGATGGAGCCGCCGCCTCTCCCTGGCTGGGGACACCCAAGGGACACCTCTCCCCGCGCAGGAGGGGCACGGCAGGGACGGAGGGCACGGCCGGGAAACCACCAGAGGGACAGGGCATCCCCAGCAGCATCGCGGGCGGGATGGTGGCGGGGACGTGTCACCGAGCCGCTCCCTGCCCACCCCCGAGCGCTCCGGACCCCTCCGGAGGAGATGGCACCGGGCGCGGACTCCGCCCCTCTGTCCCCGTTACCTTCCATGTGCCCAGCCCCACCAGCGGCATCCTGGCCCCGGTGCAGAGCTGCACGCAGGTGGCCATGGCTCCAGCCGGGAATGCTGCCCGGTGCCACGGCCCGCCGAGCCCTTTAACGGCGGCATCACCGCGCCCGCCCCGTCCCGGGCCCCGCCCGCCCGGGCCAGCCACGGCCCCGCAGCCCGGGGGGACACCGCGCTGGGCCGGGCCGGGCCAGCGCTGCTTCTGCCCCAGCCCCCGCAGCTGCACTGTGGGCTCTGGGCTCCCTCCGAAGGTGGGATGATGTTTGTGATAACCGGAGAGGAAAAGCGACCTCCTTTGTAGGGCTAAAGTAGAAAGCAGTTATTTTAAAGACGAATGTTATTTTCTGGTGTTGGGAGAGGCTTCTCTTAATGTTTATTGAAAGCTGCTGAAGAATAATAGATGTTATATTGAAACTGCTGCATGCTCTTGCTTGGTGAATTTATTCAGGTGTGAGCATCAGATGGCAATATAATAGTGCATTTTTATCTGCGTGCCTTTCGCCACAGCAGATACCCAGCTGCTTTGTATCTCTTTTTCTACCCTGCTTACCTGAGGGCAGACAATAGTTTGTCTGTAATCCTCCTGGCTTTTGTCAGCATCATCAGCCATCCTCAGCAGGATGTGATGTTTCAGTTAACATCACAAAATAGTTACATAATGCAGTGTTTGCCTTTTACTATTCTTACTAACCACCCACCGCTCTCCCCCCCCCCCCCCCCCCCCCCCCCCCCCCCCCCCCATTCCTTCTCTGTAAATCTGCTCTGAGCATGTGGACTCTTGGGGTTTTGTTTCAGTGAAATCAATGGAAAGACTAATATTAGGAGAACAATATTAAAGCCAAGATGTTTGCGTGGGAAGCCTGCTGCCATCCTGGTCTGTGCGTTTTTCCCCAGTGGTTTCTTGACAGAGAGGTCTCTATCTTTTAGAAAGGATTTTGGGTAGAAAGTTTGCATTTGCTGTAATGTATCCGAGGTCCTGTCTCTCATAACCAAAATGCTCAAGCCAAAAGCACAAGTTTTGTTCACACCGCATTTGAGAACAAAAGCTTCTTTCTTTTTAATCACATACAAAAGGCCAAGTTCTTTTTGCATCTGTCAGGGGGGGTAAGGGAACACCAGCCAATGTGGTAGTGCTAAACTGGATTCACCAAGTGCATCAATGAAGAAAAAGGCTGGCAGAGACAATGTGACATATGTGCTGTAGAAATCTTGGTACATATGAGCAGTGGATGATAAAGTGGCAGGAGAATGATACCTGGAAATACTCGCAATGTGTAATAGTGTGTGTCCCCCATAATATACTCCAGTGAGTCAGTGTGGCCTCAAAATGGGGAAATACAGCACTCAGCCCTGACCTGTGTCAGGCTCTGGGCAATGGCTCGGCACTAACACATGCTCTTACACCTCGTGTCCTCATAATTTTGGATATCTCCATGGGTGTGGGTGCAGTCATGTTTCCCCATTGTCTGTTTTATTGAGGGCTTGTAAAGCTAGATTGATGTCAGCACAGTTTAGCAACCAGAGCAATCCACGCTTTCACCACAGAGCTCTCCAGAACTTCCAGTTATTGTTCTCCTGGCACTGTCACATCATGGGTACCAAGACTCCTTCCACAGTTCTTGTCTGCACTGAGTGGTCAGCCATGGTTCATGATATCAGTTACTCAGTTATTTTAACTCCTAATCATGACATGTTCTTGATGCTGCTGTGACATTCAGTCTCAGCCTTTCTGTCATCTGTCAAGCACCTTTCATCCATGCACTCACACCTACAACCCAAGGATGTACAGTGCAAGTAGCTTGAGCTTGTCTAAGTGTATTCACCCATTGCACACTGAGTTAAACAGTAGTACAGCATGAGCACTAAGTCAGCATTGGGCTCTAGTACTATTAACCTTCACAAATGCTGTTTTTTGTTCATCATCTTGTTCTCAAGGAAGTCTCTTGACCACTCAGTTGCTCAAGACACAGCTCAAACTTCACCTGCCTTTGTCAGAGCTCACAGCTTGCTCTGGTGTGGATGTTATGGATTTATGGATCAGAATGCAGCAGGTGTTCTGCAGGTGCCCTGTGCCCACCAGACCAAGGCACACATGGACATACAGACACCTGAACTGCCACAACATCCCCCAGCTATCCTAGCACTGCCCAGCCAGGCTCACCTGCACCCTCCACCACCTTTTGTCAGGGGAAACCCTTACTCATTCACATGGTTACAGTGAGCAGAGACCTGTCCCAGTGACTCAGCACATTAGAAAAGAACTTCCAACCCAGCAGTAATCCAAAAAATTTTATTTTGGTCAAGAATGAAATTGAACATCAACCTCTGTCCAGTGTCAGCCTGTAAAAAAGTGACTGAAATAAGGCCCAGGATGAGTTATTATTCATCTATAGGTCTGGACACTTCTCCCATTCATTCTTATTTTCTAGAAAGCTTTGGGCTGTACTCTAGAAGTTAATTTTGTCTTTTACCTTCAGCCAGTGATTATGTGATTATTGAGGATGGCTTTTTCTCATGCACTTACACATCCTTAACCCTGCAGCCTTAAGTGGTGCTGATGCAAGACAGTAGATAAAAAGATCAGTTGCTAGTTCCCTCTTCTCCTTTGCTATTTCAGTCATGCAGAGACACTCATGTAATAAGAATTATCATAGCCCACATTTTCTTCAGAACAATTGTACAATTTCCTTTCACCAAACAAAAAACCCAAAGTCACTGAACACATATCCTGTGCCCTTGCTGGGAAGAGGGATACAGTGTGTCAGCTACATAGTGCACAATTTGAGGCAATGGTAGAAGCTCATTAAACCCTGGGGGCCTGAGAGAGGGCAGGAAAAAATCATCTTCAGTATTCTGCATTGAAAGGGTACTCCTTGTGATTTTTGCATCTGGAGGAAATCAAAGAGGAAAGATTACTCAAGGCTAAAATAACTGCTATATAGAACAACAGTGGGTGTACAGAGGAGCCTTCAAAGGTGGATCTGAATTGAAGAAGTGCAAGGTGAACTTAAGAGACTTGATAGTATAGCCTACAGGACCAACAAATTTCAGCCTTTTTCTATTATTCAGGCACTGAACAGTGGTGGGACCAAGTTACTTTCTAGATACAGAGTTAAAATTCACACTGCTTACAGAGACAGCAGCAGTTTCTGTGGCCTTGCAGCCAAGACTGCCTGTCTTGCTGCATATCTGCAAGCAGCTGGGCTTTGTACTGCACAACAGATGGTCATTCCCCACCACAACCAGCTGTGTAAGAGCTGACATCAATTTATAATACCCCCCAGAAAAAAATTACTCAACGTTTAAAATTACCTAGTGCTCATTTCTCCCATATGGACACAGCCAAATTTATCAACCAGAACCCTAATTTTGGAATTCCAGGCATACAACGTTTCCTGGAGAATGGATTCACAATGAACACACAGCATGACTTATACTCGCCTTTCAGTCAATAAGGTGGAAGTATAACAACAGATACTTCATCCCCAAAATTATTTCAGATTTCAAAATATACCCATTTTGAACAGCTATACCAGTTCTTGTGCGATCAGGATAAAGATCATTGTGTAAGAGTTTGAAGGACACCAACTGTCACTTACGTGACCATTCCACAGATCCTCCAGTTTCTGTTTAAGCTAAGAAGGGTGGCCATCTCATCTTTAGTCAGTTCAAAGTCAAACACCTAAAAAAGAGAAAACCGGCTAGATTTAACTTCTTTGAACAAGTCCAATCAGAAGCAAGATTTATGAGATTAAAGAACAAGTTCTTATCAGAAAAGATGCTGGGTACAAGTGATGGATTCATGAAACACAGACAATAAAATAAATATCTTTGGATTTTCCAGACTCTACTAGCAGAGGGAAGAAACAGAAGAACAGGAGACACCATGTAAAGTGCCATCCCTCACCTGGAAGTTCTCCACAATGCGCTGTGGGGTGACAGATTTGGGAATCGCAATCACATTTCTCTGGATCTGGAAGCGAAGGAGAACCTGCAAAAAGAGACAGCTGAGTCCATCCTCCTGTTCCAACAGCTGTTTTCCCTGAGCTATCCCCACTTCTGCAGAGCTGCATTTCAAATCATCCCTGGCCCTGCAGTCCAAGCTGCAGTGCCTGGAGAGCAAAGACGGAAGCAGTGAAAGCCCCCATGGAAGGTCTCCTTTCCATCCAGGTTTAGGCCAGTCAATTCCTTTTCTTAGCATCCAGAAGTTTTGCACTATATACAGGACTTTCATTTCTGCAAAAGGACTTGAGAAGGGAAGTGACAACTGAAGATAAGTCAAGAATATGATGGCCAGAGTTAGTAGTAGCATATCTTGCAGGCCACAGAATGGACAGCCTGCACTACTTGTTAGGAAGAGAAAAAAGCAGAATTGTTCACAGGTGACACCACAGAGGCTGTTCCCTCTCTTCAGACATAGTTTCCTAAATTGCTGTGTTACAGGAAGGGGTATCCACTGTCTGGCACCAACTCACCTGTGCTGGGGTTTTGTTGTGCTTGGCTGCAATCTCCTTGATCTTGGGGTCATCCAGCAGGGAAGGTGCTTCTGGCTTAGAACTAGACAAAGTGGAGGAGAAAAGGACGAAACAACACAGAATCACTTCAGAAAGTTTCTAACTAGCCCCATTAATTAAAAAAAAAAATACACCCGTACCATTACTCAGTCATAAATCACATGAACCCACTTGGAAATTACCCATCAGGACGTCCAAGGGGACAGTATGCTGTCACAGTGATCCCTTTGGAGTGACAGTAGTCAATCAGCTTCTCCTGGGAAAGGTATGGATGACACTCAATCTGCCAACACAGAAGCACAGACTGAGAGCTGTAAAACTACTGTGGTTTTCCCTTGCTCCAGAGGTTTTTCTGAATCCTGATTTCCTAATTACAGGTTGCCTTCACCTCACCCTGCAGGAGGCCTGTGTGACAATACAAGACTATAATTAAATATGGCACCAACTTTAATACCAAGTCTTTATGTGCTTTTTGGATTTTTTTTCTCAGAGGCTTTATAAGAGTCAATCATTATGTCAGAATGATCCCTCATATGTGGATTCTTCATGCCTCCAGAGAGAATGGTTCCTAGGAAAACACTCCAAAGTTATTGTTTCACCAAGATTACACAGAAAATAAATATTCTGGTTCTGTTTGTATGAAGAAATGTGCAGAGAGAGGGATTTAAAGTACACGCTGTGTCTACTTTTTTCTCCCTTTTTTCACCTCCTCAGGTGGAAAAACTGATTACAGTTATTTAACTGTAATCAGAATGTTATAATCCCTGAAAAGTATTCCCCTGCAGCCACTTTGCAGCTCACCTGATTATTTGCAGGTTTGTACTTCAGTCCTGGCTTGTTCAAGATTCTTTCAATCTGCTCACGGTTGAAGTTGGAGATTCCAATGGCTTTTACCAGGCCAGCATCCACCAGCTCTTCCATGGCCTGGCAGAAAGAGGAGCAGAGTCAGCATGCAGTGGGTAAGACATGACTGAATACCTTCCTCCTGACATGTGCTGTTTGTCTTCACGGGAAGCACATTTTTAAAAGCTACCATGTGCTTCTGTGAATTCTTTCCAACTAATTCTGCATACATGGCTGCACATTCTGCAGCTGCTGAAGCCAACACCACTGCTGAGGATAGAAGATGTGTCTCTTCCATGTGGGATGAACTCACCTCCCACGTCTGCAGAATATCTGTGTTGCTGGGGATTGCCATGCCTTTGTCATCTACAGGGAACAGGTCTTCTCCTGCCTGTCAGTGACAAAGAAAGTGCTTGAAAAATCTCTTGACAAGTCCACTTGAGTGCTCACAACCACAATATCTTAAACTTCTAGTGCAAGAGTGCTAATCCTTGTCTACGCTTCTGAGAAGAGAAAGGAATTTAAGGATTTTTGCCAGTGACCATTCCTCATGGAATAGGTTTTTCTGCTGGACCCCTGGAAGTGATGGCTCACCCAAACACCCACAGGGAAACAAACCAGTCAGAGCTGCAGCCTCCAGTCTCACATGTGCTCCCTTCAGGGGCTGTTCTTTAGCTCCCACTCAGCAAGAACTTCTGCTCTTTTTCCAGGGGGGCATCAACACTTTGGTCTACACAACACCAGATCTACTGAAAAGATCTATTGTGTGCACTGACAGTTCTTCCATGACAACACTCAGTGCAAACCAACACTAGGAAAGTTGGAAGAGCCTTTTTGTACAAGTTATGAAAAGATGCCAAGACTGAACTGTGTTTAGCAGCTGTTTGCTGCTGTCACCATGAGACAGTTTCATCTTCATGGCTCTGTTAATATAAAGTTAAAATAAAGCATGGAAAAAAGATGAGCATCTCAAAGGCAACAGGTAGAATGGGGAGGGATCAGACTGCAGGATAGATAGGCTGTGGCAAGAAATATTCAAACTCAGACATCAACTCCTTCACTGATCTTGGGGGGCCTAAACACCCTCACAGAAGTTTCACCTTTTAAATTCCTGTCTCAGTGGAACAACACTAAAGATTCTACAAGCAAGGCCAGCTCAATCTGTAATGCATTAAGGACTTGATGATTAAAGAGAGAAATATAAAACAGAAATACATTATTTTGCTCTCTGATTCTGTAGCACACAGAGGAAAATTGCAGAGAAGCAGCAAAAAGCAATCTTCATTCCCACAAGGGGTGATTTGGAGATGAACACACTGGATTTGCAAGAGAAAAGGAAAGCAGCCCTTGTCTTATGCTTGGAGCTGGAAGAGCTGCCTCTAGTTTCTCTAGATGTCAGGCCATCATTCCCAGGACCAAAGGGGTACACAAACAACTGCCTCTGGGACAGAGACTAAGAGCCTGAGTCACACAGCCAGGGTCAAGCTGAGCACCAGAGCAGTGCTGGCACAGATAGCAGGCAGGTAAATGTCTTTGTCAGCCAGAACAATTACTGGGCTGTTAAACCAGCCACAAGAAACAAAGTTCAGGGCATTGCTGCTACTGTACCTTGAATCCAAAAGGCCAGTGGACAAGGTAGAGATCCAGGTAACCCAGCTTCAGGTCTGCAAGGCTCTTCTGGCAGGCTGCCTTCACCAGAGGCTTCTCGTGAAAGGTGCACCACAGCTGGAGACAAAAACAGGGCAGCCTGTGACCTCCAGGGTTAAAGCTCTGGGTGCTCTCCTGCACAGCACAGGAATGCTCCCTGTTCTTTGGAATGAGGTATGGAATGAGGCCAGCTCAGTGCTCTTCACACGCAGTGAGGTCTGGGCTGTGCGGCAGCACAGGACACAAGAGAATAGCATCAGACTTAACTCATTTATATTACAAACTTCCCCAGTGCTGCTGCGTTTAACTATGCTAAATGTTCCTACTGTAAAAACACCACAGATAAAAGCAGTGTGTCCATAATCCATGACCATCTGATCCATACCTTACTGACCACGAAGAGGTCCTCCCGCTTCACAGCCCCTTCCTTGATTTTCTGCTGGATCCCTTCCCCAACTTCCTTCTCATTCTGGTACACATAGGCACAGTCGAAGTGGCGGTACCCGGCATCGATGGCAGCCGTCACCGCAGCTGTCACCTTCCCTGGGGGGGACTAAAGGGAAAAAGGTCCGGACAGGTCTCGGTGAGGGATTCTCAGGCGCTGCCCCGTCCCGCAGCGGTGCCCGCCTCACCTTCCATGTGCCCAACCCCATGAGGGGCGCGCTGCCGGCGGCCCCGAGCCGCGCGTACCCCGCCATGCCCGCCATGCTCGCCCCGCGCCCGCAGCCAATCAGCGCCGCCGCGAGCCCGCCGCGCCGACCAATCAACCGCCCCGCTCCGCGCGAGCCCGCCGCGCCGACCAATCCGCAGCGGAGCAGGCAGCCAATGGGCCGCGCCGGGCGGTCGCGAGGGCGCCGTGCGGGGAGTTGGTATGGGAAGGAGGGAGGGAGGGAGAGAGGGTGCGCGTTGTGCGCGTTCCCGCCCGGAAGGGTGAAATTCCTCATGGGAGGATAAGGGCTGAGCGTAGCGGTGTCCCGGCCCGGTGCAGCTCCTGCAGGGATCATCCCCTGTCCCTGTGCCACGGGGTGTCCTTGCCTATCCTCCTTGTGCCATGTCCCCGGGTGTTCTGACGCCCTCTCGGTTCCCTGAGGCTGACACCAACACGGGACAAGCAGTTTCACTTCGGGGTGAGTTTGCGAGCGGTTTCGGAAATGATCAGTACAAATCACTTCCTTTCAAGTGCTGAGGGAAAGCGTGTTTTAGTGTGTTTCCAAAACTGCCGCAGAACGCTGAGTTTACAGGGAATGTCACAGCGATCGCGTTGTGCCCTCTGCCCCTCCTCAGCCCTCAGGGAGGTGCAGACCGTATTTCAGAAGGAAACACACAAGTGTAGAAATAAACGGTAGGTGGCCTTTTAATTTCACATTAGAAACCGACTTTGCAATTTCGGAGAGGCAAAATATGCTGTGTGGATGGGGTGTTGAAAGTGCAGTAAGAAAGAAATGAGTTTATCAACGTGATCCTCCAAATGCTCCATAAGAGCCGGTTAGGGATGCTTGGGAGGCTTTGCTGTTTGCTTGTACTCGGAGAATTCCTTCAGGTACTAACAGAAATCTGAAATAGTGTGTTTTTCTCTGGATGCCTTTCCCACAGCAGACGCCCGAGATTTTTCTGCTTCATTTAAGTGAAGGCAGACAAGAAAATTAGTTTTCCCTTTAATCTTCCCCCAGGTTTCTGGCAGTGCTGTCAGCTGTCCTCTGCAGGATGTGGTATTACAGCAGTTTAATCACATAGGAGAGCAGGGCTGAGAAATGCAATTTGCTCTTTCTCTGCTTTCTTCTGTGAACTCATGTTCTCCTGTGAAGGCTGGTGCTTATTTTTCCCAAGGCATGCCGTGAAAGACATCTTGGTGTTTTAAGAGAGGATTTTGGGCAGAAGGTTTTGTGTTTTGCTTTGTTTGTGTGAGGCCTTGCCCAGACCATGCCCGTACCTGGGAGGTGAGATTTGTTTCTGTCCTGAAGGTGTGGCTGGGGTTGCCAGATGATGGCAGGGCCTTTGAGAAAAGAGTATATGTTAGAACAGAATGTTTACATTGCTAAATGGTGTGCATGGGTTCAACTTCCAGATGCTTGTTAAGGCAGGAATAAAACAGGGGGGTAGAGATTTAATCTGATTTTAAGACATTGGCCTCTTTCTTGCATGGAGTTCAGATCAAGCCAGGAGCGTCCTCTGAGGTGCCAACAATCTCTGTGTCTTCTCAAGAGGTTTTTTTGGAAGATCTGTGATAACTCTTGTATTTGTCTATTAAAAACAGGGCTGTGGCTGGTGAGGAGAGGACAAGGTGGGTGCTGAGGGATGGCAGGGGAAAATGCTGAGTGTCCCAGGCAGGATCTGTGTGCCCACAGTGCAGGTGACTGCAACCCACCCCTCTGTGCATCTTTGGGTGGGAGGGTTCTTGGTTTTTTCTACAGCAGACAGAAAACTCTCCACCAATTAGTTTTTTGCATTTTAAAGTTAATTTTATTTAAAATGCATACACCTCTGATGACATTGTTGATCTGTGGGGTGTGTTTGTCAACATCTGGTTTCTGCTGATGCAAGACTGAAACCAACCAGAGAATAGTGGTGCTGTAGGAAATTCTCCTTCCTTCTTCCAAAAACCTTAAATGCTGTGGGATAAACATCCCATGTGTTCACTGGCAGCACCAGGGTAGATGGCACCAGAGACCTAGTGAAGGCCATGTTACAAGCACCTTCACTATTCTTCATAGAAAGGGTGTTCCTTGAGATTTTTGAACTTGAAAGAAATGAAAGTGGGAATGTTATATCCACACATGATCTAAATGGGATGTAGAGATTTGTTGCGTGCATGGAAGAGCCACCAAGGGAAGGACTGCATCATGAAGTTACAGCAAGAATAGGTGGAGATACGTGTTCTGCTTTCTCTAATACAGACAGAGGTAGTTGAACATCCAGAACCCATTTTTTGTAATTCAAGAGAGTTTCCTGGAAACTAAGCATTAAGAATTAGAATGTAATTTGGTTTAAATTTAGTTTTGTTTTTAAAATGAAAATATTAAGCCCTCTCCTGAAAATGTTATTTTTTTGGGGACAAACCAGTTGGAGTTTGAGTTGGCGTGATTTTTAAAAAAATTGAATTTCATGTTACCTAGAAGCTGTGATACAAAATTCCTTGTAAAGAATATTCAGAATTTAAGATTTAGAAGAAAACAAGCAGCATCACTTACATGTTCATTTCACAGATCTTCCAGTTTCTGTTGAAGGGCAGAATAGTTGTTATCTCCTCTTCAGTCAGTTCAAAGTCAAACACCTAAAAGAGAGATACAAGTGGAAATCACTTCTTTGAACAAATCAAAGATAAATACAAGAGCAGCTCCACACTGGAGAATCCATTTTCACACATGGACCCCTGAATTATGAAGAGCAACTGGTTTTATAGACATAAGGGATTATTTTATGATCATTGCTAATTCTAGATAAGACATTTCTGGCATGTTCCTGTGTGGGGAGTCCAAGCAAGCTGTGCCTGCTCATCCATCCACAAGCCATGGAACAGGGAATGATATCATGTAAGGATTGCTGATTAAATTCTCAAGAAGTAGGCGTGGGTTAACACTCAGTAAAGTGTAGTTAAGAAGGAAGAGCCCAGCCCTCTTGCTGCAGGAGGCCATGGCAAAGGTGATAAAGGATCACTGCCAAGCCATCCCTGAGGGGCAGCCCCCAGCTCACTCCTGATCCCTCACCTGGAAGCTCTCGACAATGCGCTGTGGGGTGACAGATTTGGGAATCGCAATCACATTTCTCTGGATCTGGAAGCGAAGGAGAACCTGCAAGGTTTACATTCTTTGCAAGAGCCCCTGGGAGGGGAAGTCACATCTGAAGGTGGTCAAGAATCTTTTTGATGGCCTAAGAGTTAATACTGTGTCCTGGAGGTAATGTAATAAAAAAAATTCGCATTGTTAGGGAAAAATCAGAGGAGTGCCACAATTCGTAGAGACTCTACCCTTTCTGGAACTCTGTTTTCTTACACTGGGAAGGAGTAGCCACCTGTGCTGGGTTTTTTTTTGTGCTTGGCTGCAATCTCTTTGATCCTGGGATCATCCAGAAGGGAAGGATTCCCAGGCTTAGCCCTACACAGAGGAAACAAATCAGTGGCAAGAAACCCCCACAGAAAGATTCAGCACAGCAACAGAGATCTGTGTTTAAATAAGAAATGAGTGGTGTATGTGTAGTCTCAGTGCTTCAGTCATAATCCCCACCAGCTCCCTGGTGGATTGCAAAGCAAATTTACCATGGTCTGTCAGGAGAGCCAAGGGGACAGTATGCAGTCATAGCCAGCCCTTTGGACTGACAATACTTAATCAGCTTCTCCTGGGTGAGGTATGGATGAGATTCAATCTGCCAACACAAAAATAGAGTCTGACAGTGGCAGAGCTGTTGCAATATTGTTATGTTCCTAATTTATCTCCTAGTCCAATTAGAGGCTGCTTTTTTTCCCTAATTTGACAGTGGCCTTCATGATAATACCCATCCTTAGTACTAAAACCACCTATTTTGATACAAAGTGCTTATACAGTTTTTGCTGGTGGGGCGGGGTTGGGGGGGGGAGGGGGGGGGAGTTGGTTTCACAAAGCTTATCTCTGGGTTCTGTATTATTCCAGAAAGACTGTTTTCAGGGAACTTCTCCAACATCCTTAAACAGTGGTTGAGCAAGGTGATTAAAAAAAAAATGAAATAGGGGTATCCAAGTGCTGTGCTCTGAAATATCTATAGAGAGGGATTTAAAGTACATCCTGTGTCTACTGTGTTCACCCTTTTTGCATCTCCTCATTCCACTGTAATTGGACTTTATAATCCCACAAAACCAGTCACCTGCTGTCACTTTGCAGCTCACCTGGACATTTGCAGGCTAATGCTTCAGTCCTGGCTTGTTCAAGATTCCTTCAACCTGCTTATGGTTGAAGTTGGGGAATCCAATGGCTTTTACCAGTCCACAGTCCACCAGCTCTTCCATGGCCTAAAATAGCAAAATCATCATCCAGTGAGCAAGGCAGCTCATGATGATGTTCTTCCTAATGTGACTTGTTTTCCACCACAAGCAGCATAAAAGAACTATTTAAAGTTGCAAAGTTCTCTGAGGGAAAAGCAGTGCTGGCATATTAATGCCATCTCACCAAAGCCCAAATTCTCATTCCCTGAGTGTGCAGAAATTCACACCGAGTTGCATGAGGAGAAGAATGATACAGTGGATACTCAGTAATCCACTGTTATGAAAGCATTATCGGTCAGATCTAAACCTAAAATATCTTTATTTCTCTGAAATTTGAGCAACTTGAGAAAGACACAAGAACTGTGGTGAAAACAATTGTGCAGCTGTTATTGTTCCACAGTGAAATTTTTCTAGCTTCAGTCTGGTGTGCAGCTCCACTGGAAGTGCTTGTGCAGCTCCAGTCAAGTAAGGCACTCAGATAATAGGAGTAACCAGGGATAGGTTAAGCATGCCCATTATGAAAAGCTATTTTGTACTACCTTATGTTCCTTCCAGCTAATTTTCTGTGAACAAGACAACAGTTCTGTGACTGCTGAAGGTAATAGAAGCATGGCAAAGACTGATGAGGACAGAGGACATTCCTCTTCTGCTCTGGCTGAACTTACCTCCCATGTCTGTAGAAGATCACTGTTGCTGGGTATGGCCATGCCTTTGTCATCTTTGGGAAACAATTCCTCTCCAGCCTGTTAGAGAGAGATTAAAGGCTTGAAATAACCTCTGCTGAGACACAGAGATTATTTAGCTGTGTAAAATCACCTAACAGGGATAGGGATGTAAGGAGGTAAAGCTAATAGTACATTTAAAAAAAAATTAAGTCATTCTCACCATAACTTAACTAGTTCTTCAGTCACATCTTAGTTCATGTATTTTTGTCATCTACTATCCCAAAAAAGACAGGTGTTTCTGCTGGACCCTCTGATCCACAAAGTGCATGCAGGGTAGTGGTTAATTTAAAGAAAAATATTCTGCAGTCTTACATGAATTCACATCAAGTATTGTTCGAGTTTATTTAGGTATTTTTAAAAAGCTGTGGAGGATTGACTTTGGCCCTGTGAACCCAGGCATTTATATTGGAGTGCGTCTACTGACAGATGTCTTGTGGGGAGGCTCACTGTTGAAATTGCTGTATTTAAAAAATTAGAACAGCCTGTAATTAGACAGTATGGCCAAAGTACTTTGAATTATTTGAATTACCTAAATGCCACAATATTGTGCAGTTTCACTTGACAACTTTGTCCATGTACAGCTAACTAAAACAATTTTGGAGGAATGAGCTCAAAAGCATAGAGATTTTGATAGGTATCATATTTTTGAAATCCAAAGTCTGTGAAACAACACTAAGGCTTCTGCAGGCAAGGTCAGCTCAATCTGTACTGTATTAAGGATTTGGTGATTAAAGAGAGAAATGGGAAATGGAAGTGTGTGATTCTGCAACCTACAGAGGAAAGAATTTCTGTCAGGCAGCAAACTGCACTCCTCTGTCCCAGGGGGTTTTCTTTCAGAAGAGCACACCTTGGGTTTGTAAAGGAAAGGGCAGAGCAGAGCCCAAGGCACCAGGACAGCTCTCCAGAGCTGGACCAGGGGCCCTGCAGTTTTGTGCCTGGGAGTTCTGCAGTACAGGTGCTTTACTCTGTAGCTTCCAGGGGCACCTTCCAGGTGCCCAGCCCCACGAGGGACATATTGGCAGTGGTGTTTAGCTGCACATAGGTCACCATGGTCCTGCACTCCCTCCTGGTTGCCTCACCACAGCTGCTTCTTGCCTGGCTGGTTTAACAGTGGTCACTGGCCAGGACAGGGGACCATGCTGAAGCATCACTGGTGCTCTGGGTCCTCCCATATCCGGCAAACAAGGCTGTGGCTTTGTACGCTCAGCTCACAAAGGTTAATGTGAAAGCTGAAATCAATTAAAATTTGATAAGGTGATTACTTGGGGCGTGGCAGTGGTGTGCCCTGCAGACCTTTCCCTTATCAAAAGATCAGGGTTGAGGGCAGCTGTGTCCTGATCAGGCTGGTGTTTCTGCTGGATCAGCTCCTGCAGTGCCCTGTCCTGTCCTAGGGATTGTCCATGTGTTTCTCTTGTGCCATATGCCAAGGTGTTCTGACACCCTGTTGCAGTTTCCCCCATAGATTTCTTGAGAGAGAAGGTTTCATTCAGTGGAAGTGCCCAGGTTTCATTCCTGGGCACTTTGGCCCAGGATTGTCACAGGTAAAGCCTGGGGGTGTGCTGAAAAGTGTCGGTAAAGGAGTCCCAGGGTAGGGTGTGATGCAGAGTGCTCTCACTCCTGGAGCTGCGCCCTCGTTTCTGGGTGTGGCTGTGGGCTGAGCCCTTGGCTGGGGCAGCGTGTCCCCACCACAGTGGTGGTGGCCTGGGCTGGTGTCCCCTTGATGATGTCTTGTGCCCTTGTGTGCTGATGAAGTGAGACAGCTGGAGAAAACTCTTGTGAGGTTGCAGAGGAAGGAGCTCCTTTTCACCCCCTCCAGAGGTGTTGGTAACCACTCCTCAGGCTGAAAGGTGAGGCACAATGAACAACAGGGAAGTTCGCACAGGGCATGCATGCCAAACATGAGAAGTACAATTAAGTCCCTGATTTTACCCAGTCTTAACAGGATCATCCCTCTGGTAAAATTCTAGAACTGCCTTTTCTTTTTTTTTTCTTTTCTTCACTTCTCCTTATTTTATTATTGCGGGCAGCAGGCATATCACTATGGCTTGTTTTTTAGCAGCCAGTGCAGTCATAAAGGAGTTTAATAATGCAAAGACATGTGAGTGTAGAAGAGAAAGGTGTCCTGTAGCTTCATGGTCATTGTGGATGCCATATATTATTACTGCCACAAACTAACACAGCCTTCAGCACAAAACCAGAGCAGGATCCAGGGTGGATGGATGTGTTTTCATGTTTGCACACACGGGGGCAGAGTTAAACTTGTGTGTGGCCACAGCTTTTGGATTTCTTCAGTCTTAACTCAGCAGATTGAATTGGGTATTGTATTCCTTAGATTTTGTAATAATGAGAAGTTGGAAAGTCTCTCTTCCTCTGCCTCTTTTCCTGAAAAAGGATAAGAAGAAAAAAAAATAAAGGTGGCTTACATTTCTAATAAATAGACTCGAAAATTTTCTGGTAGGGACTCAAAAGATACAAACCTGGTAAACCCAGGAAAAAGGAAATTAGCCATTTATCAACAATTTTCTGAATTGTCTGATCCTCAACTTAAAGGCACAAAAAAGAATTTCCATTTCCCTGCTTTCTTTTGCACTGAAATGTATGAGACAGTCTCCTGCTTCAACTCACCACTCTGTCTCAAAGATGCTAAAGATGCTTCAAAACTTGCACTTTTGAGTGTTGTTATGCACGTGGAGGGGAAATCAAGCCTGTTTTCTTCCTCCTGTTAACAAGGCACTTACCTTCAACATTTATGTCTGAGGAGAAGCAGGAGGACTATCTAAAATATAGTATGGTTGGATTTACTACACCTGGAAACACTCTCCTGTGCTCAATAGCTCCAGCTTGTTTTTGACTGCAGCTCCCTGTGGGGATTGTGAGCCTTGTGCAGCTGGTGGGAAGCAGAGTGTGCTGTAACAGACCTGGGTTGTTAACTGCACATTTGCAGCCAGAGGCTGCTTCCATTGGGAAGTTTGCCATGGATTCAACAGCATGGAAACAAGCCATTTGTTAAAATGTCTGCCAACAGTGCCAGCTCTTTGTTCTGCCAGTGTAGCACCAAACTTTGTCTAACGTATCCTGTATGTTGTCCCTGGTGTGCTCAGAGTGGCTGGATGTTGTGATTTCAGCACTGTTTCCCAGTGCCTCATCCCCAGAGATCCCCTGTGTTCCCCCTACAGCTCACAGTGCAGCAGCGGTGGTGGCTCAGCAAAACAGGGAGAGAAAATACCTCGGCATCTGCATCCCAGTGTTGGCCTGGCCGTGCGGGCCTCCAGGGGACAAAGCAAGAACAGTAAGAAAAGATTGACCTTTTCTTTTTTCCCAAGGACATTCCCCAGTCTGTAGTGTAAACCAGCGAGCTCAAGAGGTGCTGGGTATCATGCAAAGCTGAGAAAGTAGCTGTTCAAAATGGCCTTTTTTATACTTTGTCTCACTCACTGTATGTCACCCTCTAGAGCAAGATGGGCTTCCCGGAAGGAGTAGTCACAGTCTGATGTTTCCACTGGGCACACCAGAAGCCTGAAACGAACATATTTTGGGTTCTCTGAGGAAAAACCTAGCCAATTGTGTTCTGGAGCTGGAGTAACTATTACTGTTACAAATAGAGGAGAGGGGAAAATCTGGGGAACATCAAGTTGAAACTACCCCAAGAGGAATCTTTTAACTTAGCAGAACTGCAGGAAGCTACAGTTCTTGAGAACTACATCAAATGGGGTGGTGGTTTGGTGATAAAGAGAAGTGTAACTTGCCAACAAGTGGGTACCTGAGGGTAAACAGGACAGGAAGATATAGTTAATAAAATTGTCAGGCAGTGGGGAGCAGACCCCTGGAGGCAGTGGAGGAGGTGCTGACAGCAGACAAGGGCAAAACAAGGCATGTTCATGATATTCCAAAGAATAATATACTTACATTTTCTTCTGAGTCTTGTCTACATGAAAATCTTGCACTGTTTCATTATGCTGATGCAAATGCCTTTTTTGGACACATATCAGTTGAAGTATGTTGTGTATTGATTTAGGTTAAATCCCTTCCTTACCACTTCAGTTAAAACAGTAGAAACTACTCCAGCAAAATAACATCCATCCTCCTAAAGACTTCACATTAATTTAATGGCATCAGTTTTTTAAATGGTTTAATTATACTGCAGCTTCCTTACACAGGCCAGGACTGGTTGCTGTGGAAGCAGAAACATGTCAGTGTCTTTTGTGTCTTTTCTTTAACTTGTAAAAAGAAACCTTCTGATCACAGACTGGAGAGGTGGATTAATATGGGACTGGCAAATACTTTGCTTGATTTTCTCTAGGTCAAGCCCTGTAAAAAGAGCAGGTACCAAAGCATCAACACAGACCAAACCTTCTCAGTTTTCTCTGTGGGAGAATGGGCTTTGTAATGAGGGGATAGGCAACTTCAATTTAATAGGAAGGACATCATGGCCAGCATCTAAACCCATCTCATCTATAAATGGAAAATTTGCCCATTCCAGTTGTACATTCCTGTCCAGTTCTGTTGGTAGGCATGGTTATCACAGGAATGGGATTTTCCTTCTCCTGTATGCAGACTGTAGTTTTCCAAAGCTCATCACTTTAGAGAACAGTTTTTCTTGCCAAGTGGATGCTCTTGTTCTCATGGAAAAATATTTTCATGCTTCCTTTCAAGTTTCAGCAGTAAGCCATGTCTGGTTTTGACAAGGAAAGGGATGCTTTGAATGTCCTAAGAGTGGAGGAAGATCTATGTTTTCCCTTTGAAAAAAACACAAAAGTTTTGAAAATTGCTGTAAATATTTTCCTCATGTTTGAAAAAAAAACAAAACAAAATGAAGCACAAAGTAAAACCAATGAGTTCATCTTGATTAGGAACAGCATGAAAAATACCAGTGTGGAATCTGTACAGTTAGAGCTGAATAGAAATTGCTTTATAACCTGAACTCGTAACAACAGGGAAGGCAGATTGTTTTAGCTGACTGAGTTACTCAGGTTTTGTAAATACAAGAGCAGAACCTCATGTGGTGTTTCTCCAGTCACATGGCAGGACCCGTGGGCAATCTGAATGTTTAATGGGGATGTGGAAGGTCCAGTGTTTGCCAAGGAAGTTGGGCTCATTGTCCTTCACTAATCCATGGCTGTACAGTTACTGCAGTCTGTGCTTCAGGTCTGCTCTAGGTTGGGCAGATGGGCTCCTGCACTCTCAGCATCTGTCATTTCCAGAAGGAATTCAGGATGTGCAGGGAGGAGGCCATGGCTGAACACTGTTCTAGCACGAGGCTTCCAGCAATTGTCTTGGCTGGGGACTCTACTTGTCCTGCAACCAGGACTTGTGTGGAGCCCCAGGGGCTGGGAAGAGATGTTGGCCTTTTTTGGGTTGTTGCGGAGGCCGGGAAATTTGTTTTGGCTTTTTTTTGTTCCCGGTTGCCCCCCTTTTCCCCCCCCAACTACATGCAACCGTAAGAGCAGATAAAGTGGCTTCTTCATCTCCACAGTTTCTGCATCTTGAGAAGGGCAAGAAGCCTTGGTCCAACAGCATGGGCCTCATTTTGTGGTGTCTTTCTAGAGACATTATACCCTTCCCCACAAAGAACACAGGTTGTTGCCAGATGTTACCTGCTTCTGCACATTTCTTCTTAAGTAGGGCAGGACTGTAGTGCCCATTTTTTCCCTCACACATCCCTTGTATTGATCTTGGCTCAGTTGCCTCAGTCCCTTGTTTGATGCATTACAGGTGCAGACTTGTACAAAGAATAAGGACAGCAATAGTGAATGTTTCAATAAGTACTTGACCCATTGCAAAATGTTGAATGTTGTATAGTGCTGAAGCAGAGAAGTCTTTCTTTGTAAGATAAAAAGGAGATACTGAATTACAGGCAAAATATTTTTTCCTGGCCTTTCCATGGATAGGTAGATCTACTGACAATATAGAGGAATAGACTAATTCTGAATAGAAAAAGAGTGGAAGCCAGCCACAAAATTATTTAAGTGAATGGTTTTCTATGTAAGTAAAACAGATGAAAATTCGAATTGAAAAAGTCTTGGAAGTTGGATATTCTGACTCCCCATCATGCATGATTTATTAGTCCTTTCTGACTTTCCACTCATGCTCCTTTTTTGTTAAAGAAATAAGGCAGGGTGGAAGGGGAGGAAGCATGAATTAACTTGTGATACACAGCTATTTATTTAGCAACCTAACTCCTGAAGTTTCCTGGGAAAAAATCCTGTAAAAGAGATGCCTGATTTTGTTGCTTTTTACGGTCAGGAGCAGCCCCAGTGAATTCTGAGGAGTTACAGTAAAAGTAGAACAGTGTGACTCAGTCCTTCTCTTGATATTATCTAACCATGACACATAGGACAGATTTTTTTTTGTAGGAAGCTCATTTTTGTGCTCCATTCAAAACCAAACTGAACTTTAGCCAGTCTTGTTTTGTAAACTGCTGTGATGCAAGAGAGCCACATACCATGGACAGAAACATAAGAAGCACCGGAAAGGTCTTTGTGATTTGTAGAGTGTTTGTGAGAAAACAAAACATCATAAATACAGACAGAGATAACTCCACACACACATCAACAAGGTCTTAGTTAACCCAGGGTTCATTGTAATGTGGAAGTAAAAGACTTTAAAGCAGCTTTTTTTTTTTTTTTTTTTTTTTTGAGGTGAACCATTCATTTTTCATAGCAAGACATTAATATACATGAACTTGAGTATGTGTTGTGTGTTTGTTGTTCTCACCATTCTCTGCAATGACACTGAAGTTCCCATTTTACTCTTTTGGTTGTATTTGCCCAGATTGTTATGTGCTGTCATCATGCTCTAGTATCAGCACTATCCAGTCTGTTTTCAAAATAACTTATCATGACTAGACACCACCCTGCTGCTTTCTTTTTTTCAAAGCACTTTAAAATTATCTCTTCCCAGACAGTTCCTTACTGACGTCTGGTGTCTGGTGCACTTTGTTTATCATGGGGGGAAAAAAGCAGATTAATCACAGGATTTTCTTTGCTTTTGATGCTGCTACAAGAAGTTAATTTGTACAATATTGTGACTAAAAACCAGTGAAATGCTCCAACCCAAAATCTGAAATGTAAACCACTCCCAACCCACAAAGTTTAAAAGTGAACCTTGTAAATCTTCAGATTTTGTCTCTGGCTCCAGAAATAGGAAAATTCATTGTGAGAAAGAATTTTATTATTTTATTTTCCCAGCCATTGAGACCTTGTAAAACTTTTTTTAGAGGTATTTTTGAAGTTTATAACTGTATCCATGAGGATTTCTTCAGAACATTGTATTCCATGCACTTCTCTGTGTGTCCTAGGCACCTGCTGTGCTGAGGTGTTTATTTGAAGATGACAATGTAATGATTTTAAGGGCATAGAGAGCATAAGATTTTTCCGCATGCATATGTTCTCAGCTTGGGATATGCAGAAATATATTTTTTTTTTTGAGTTAATATTTCAGAACAACAGACAGAAGTCTCCTTTTTTACTTCAGAATAACATTACCAGTACCTAGCTATTGGGATACCTAAAAAATTCAGTTCCCACTTTAGATTTAGAGTACGATGCCTCCCAAAGCAGCTTCCCTCCATCTGTTTTGCATATAATGAGGGCTTTTATGTATTTTCTTCCTCCTTCTTGATCATTTATTTGGTATTAATGATTCAGAAGAACTTCTGCACTTACTTAAAGACTAAAGCTCTGACTCTGGTGACAAATGCAGGGTTAGTTTAAGTGCTTACAAACTCATATTTTTTTATTTTTTTAAACAGGTTTTCCCTCCAAGTAATGCAGATAGAGAGAAGAAAAAAAAGGTAGAGTACTTTATTTTCTCTTCACATGGACTTATGCTTCTGATTTTGATATAAAGGGAATTACTGAAGTCATGTATTACCTCCATAACCAAACAGGATGAAAGCCCCACTGTGTTAAAACACTAAAGAAGCATTGTATTAACATTAAAGAGGTGTCAAACAGTGCCTAAACTAGTAAAGCAGAAGGTGAAAAAGGGCCTTTGCTAAGGAGCTTAAATTGTAATTGGGTGCCTACCTGGTGTGCAAGTTGTGCCTTGCTGCTCTGTCAGGTGCACCCCCAAGTTTGAGGTAATCTTAGGCTTGGTTTAAGATGTGGTGGTGTGACATGTTGACAAATAGGGGTAGGTGTGTGATGAAAAATTCCCCACGCACAGGTGTGCTCAAGCCAAGGAAATGCTGAGAAGCACATGTGTGAGTACTGCAAGATGTGGTGAGTGGCTCCAACAGAGAGAAAGGAGCCTGGCACGTCCTTGCCTGCTCCTGCTCCTTGAGCTCTGATGGAAAAAGGTTTATTTTCTTTGTGTTACAGTCTGAGGTCTGGTGTGTAGAGATGTATGGAGAGATGCATTAGGCAGGGTCATTTTACAGTGTTGTAATTCTGAATCCTCAGGAGGCAGTAAGGATGTTTTTCTCTTTGTAGTGTGTTATACTCCCAGAGCTTTCTCTGTACAAATTTGTCTGTGGGTGGAAATGGGCCATCATCAATAGACTAGGAATGTGAGACAATAGCATGGATAGCAGACAGAGGAAAGACAGTATCTAGATCTTCTGTAGAGGAAAAAATATCAAGTGTTGAAAATGAATGGGCCTGGTACCCCAGAAAAAGGTGAGGGAGGATTTTCTGGGCACCCATCTGGGTGGCAGAGAGAATGGGCTGGAAAGGAGTAGGGAGGGTCTAGAAAAGGAGACAAATTCATGCAGTAGGAAAACACACAAGAGAACTTCTAGAGAGGGGGTTTCAGGGTTATTAAAGAATGCAAGGACTTGATTACAGAACTTTATTTTGAGCATGAAATTATTAATGAAGACAGATCATGTATCAAATAGTTTTAAACAAAGAGCTTTGTTTAGGGTGTTTTGGAAATTAAAATGGGTATGTCTGCAATGCTCTGTGGCAAACACTGGATCTGGCTTTGAACAAAGTAACTATTCTGTGAGAGAGTACCACAGGCATAATCAGTGAAGAACGCTCCTGTCTGCCACAGTTTTAATCAATCATTAATCAGCCTTTCTTCTTTCCAGTTCTGTTTTCTTCTGCTTCTGCCTTGCTCAGCTCCAGGCCTTTATTCTGAGCGGTGCAGTTGCACTGGTGCCCTGGCAGAAGTTTACACATTGAGGAAAGGAGTTTCCTGGACTAATTCTGCCACAGACATTCCAGTTAAATGCAACAGCCTGGAAGGGCTCCAGAGCAGAGACCCTGAAAAACACAACCCAGCTGGTCTGAGAGATAATAGCTGCCAAGTGAGCGTAGCTGTCTGCAAGAAGTCACGCACAGGGATGTGGCTTTGACTCTTCTGTCCTTGGATATTTTGAAATGTGAATCAAAGTCGTTAGGCTGCCAATGGTCTTGCCTAAAGACTAAAGGAGACAAAAATCTGTATTTAATGGCCACAGAGGTTCTGGATTGTGGCATGGGTTACTGTCTACTCACTTGTGACTCCATAGTGGCATAGAATGTTTCTTTCCTCTAATTGTATTCTTACAGTGCTGATATTCAAGAAAATATGTTTTTCCTTCCATCTCTAGGACCTTTGCTTCTTTTCCTTACAAAGTTAACCGACCAGTTTGCCTGAAGGCATGGTTACTGCAGGTGTGTGGTCCTGCAATAGGATATGGGAGCATTTCTCTTCACCAGCTTCAGCTGATGGGTGGCAAATCAAACTCTTCTACGCTGTGAACTTGAGTATTGCTTTGATTACATAGGCTGGACTGGGTTTATACTCTTAAGTTCTGGCTTAGACAAACCTGACAGAAATGAAAGGTAGTTGTTAATATTAAAGTTGGTGGATGAGGTGAAAAGGATTTTATGTATAGCTGTTAAGAAAAATGCATGTCCAGTAGAAATACTCTGCAGAAGCAGCAGATTTTATTGTGGTTCTGTGGTGAGGTCAGGAATAGCTCTATCAGGAAAGACATTGAAAGTATCCTCCCTGAGATGCAGAATGCTTTCTGGAGCTTCCCAAATGAATAAGAAACTAGTGCAGTAGCCACCAAAGAGATGCAGATGCTGCTCACTAGCAGTCTGGCCACTCTTACCACACAGTGCTGTGAGCCTAGCAAAGCAGGTTTCATCTGGATTAGCCTTCTTTCCCACTGACATCTTAGGATCTGGATATCCCTGTAAATATAAAATTAGACACCATTTCTCCCCACAGCACACTAGAGACATTATTATAATACCTCTGCCCCAAATTTCCTTAAATTTGTGATTCATGTAAGTTGTTTCCTATCAGAACCTGAATTCCCCCCACCCCCTTTTGTTTTCATGCACTATCTTTTTAACTTATTAAAAAAGGGAAGATTGCCTTTATCCCCCACAGGGGAGGATGACAGAGCACATTTGGTGTACATCCAGTTTGTAGTCCTCTAAGCTTTACTTTGTGGCTGTCCAGGGGTAAGCATTTAGAGAAGAAAATGTGACTGATGGGGTATGAAAGATGTGCTCTGCTTCTTTTTAGAAATAAAACCAGACCTATGGCAGTAGAAGCACTAAAGTACACCATCTTGCCACACCACTTCCCTCTTGTTTTGAACCAGAGTTGCTCCATCAACTTGCTTTTAATTACTTCAGCTTGGGATTACAGCCTGTGGGAATGAGGGAGCTAGCATGATCCTTAAGACTCACATTGTTTTTTGGTTTGTTTTTTTTTTTAGCCACTGATTTCAGTATGAGTGATTAGAATTTGAACCTGTGAAAAATGCCAATCACTTGGTTTTTAAAAATTTTGAAGTTTAATAATAATAAAATGGTTATAAAAATAGTAATACAAAATTAGAGTAATAAAATTTAGAGTTAGGACAATTACAAGACAATAAAAAGCAAAGAATTATGGACGTCTGGATGCTCTTGGACACTAAGTTATGAAAAGCATCCCTTCTGAACAAAGGAATAGCCTTAAAAGCAATGGCTTGTTGCATATTTATATGTCATACATGATGTATAAATGCCTTGAAAATTCAGAACATTTCTGGTTTTTGTCAGCTTCTTCCCCCTAATCCTGGTGGTTCCATAAAACGGAGAGAAGGTGGAAGAATGTTTGTCTTTTCTGATAAGGAGGCAGTAACTCTTTATGGGCCCCAAGTCACTGCCATCTCTGTGTGAAGAGTTTCTTGATTATCTCATCTCTTTCTTGAGCTAGTAAAAAAGAATCTCACATCGTAGAGTTTCTGTTTCAACATTATGTTGTAACCTAAAACTGTATTTAACACGCTACTCCGCGGCAGGGAGCAGGGGCGGCACGGCCGCGGCATCCCGAGCCCCCCGGGTGGCGGCAGCGCCGGGCCGGGCGCGCCCGGGGCCCCGCCTCCCCGCCACGCCCCAAGCCCATTGGCTGAGGCCGCTGCCCATCCGCCTGGCTGGCCAATCAGCGCGCGGCTCTGTGGCGGGCGCGGAGGCGCCGCGGCCGCAATAAGACGCGCGGTCCGCCCCCCCGGCCCGGCCCAGCGGCAGCTCCCGTGTGGCGACGCGGCTTCAGCCCGGTAATTCCCGGGAGAGCACGGGGTCGGGCGCGGGGAGCGGCCTCGGGGAGGAGGTGGAGCGGCTCTGGGGGCTTTCCTCGGCGGGGCTGTTCCGGCGCTCCGGGGAGGGATGGCGCTGTCGTTCCCCGGGCTGCGAGGCACCGCGTGTGTGCCCGCGGCCGTGTCTGCGAGCCGTGTTCGTGTTTGTGCGCGGGTCGCCGCCCCGCGCCTGCGGCCGCGGGTGTTTGCCGTGTCCGGGAGGTGGTGCCTTACTTGTGGCCGAGCCTCCGTGCTCGGGGAGGGCTGGGACACGCAGGTGCTCCGCACAGGGACGCCTGATAAAAGGGATGGGCAGGGGAGCTCGTCCTGGCTGGAGCAGGAGCCCTGGAAGTGGCCGCGTCTGGTGTTAGACCTTAAAGCTGTGCTTGGCCAGGAGATTGGCCGGTGTAAGATGTTTTCCTGAGCGCCGTGCGCTGCTCTCCTGAGCTGAGCTGGCGCTCTGGGTTTCTGCTCGCTGATAGAGCGAACTACAGAATGGTTTGGGTTGGAAGGGACTTTAAAGGCCATCTGGTTCCACCCGCCATGCCTTGGGCAGCGGCACCTTCCACTAGACCACGTTGCTTAAGTCTCCAACCAGCCTGGCTTCCAACACCTCTAGCAATGGGGCACCCACGGTTTCTCTGGACAACCTCTTCCAGTGCCTCTGTGCTGGATCCAGGTCTGCTCTCTGTATCCTCCGTGGTTTCCCAGAGCTTTTGGTAGATTTGTGCATGCTAGAGCTATGGTAATTGCAGTCTAAACAAATCTTAGGGAGCAAATGATGTCCTGGGGCATGTGGGAGACCAGAAACTTTCCCTTGTTGTAAATGCAGGAGCTGTGCGTTGGTATCTTTTTGGGAGAAGGTATTTGGTGACTTTCCCAGCCCATACAAGCGGTGTGTGCTCAGTTTTTTTAACAGCTTTGAGAGCAAATGGTGGCTGGCATAACCATCTGCACTTGTGGGCTCTTTCGAGCACTCCGTGTTTATTCTTTCCCTGCAGGTAACCAGCCAAGGGTGTGTGCTGGCCTCAGTATAAAGCAGATCTTGAGCCTGTGCTGGGATTTGTGTAGGTTTTTCCTTTGCTGTAGGAAAGGTGAGTAGGATTATTTCCATGTGTTGCTCTAAGGCTTTCTAGTTTAAATGCTTCCAGAAGTGGACTGATATTAAAGCAATGCTGTGACTTGCTAGTTGTTTTTAAATTTGTTTGAGAATTGTGCTTCTGCCTATTGTTTCATATAAGTGAACTGGAATTTATGACACCCAGATACTATTTGGTCTTTTTGTATCTCTTATATTAACTAAATTTTAACTTATATTAACTAATTTTTTATTGCTTTTGGCTAAAATGCCAATTTAACTTTGGCAAAGAGGTGCATTACCCCTACTGTTGGGTCTTAATTTGGTTTTGTAGATTATGTAATCCGTTCCTGTGGATAACAGAATAAATTAATCTGAATAATGAAGTATTTGCAGAGATAGAGCTTTCTGTGGAGCTATTTTATGTATAGTAGTTCATGCTGTGAACACATTGCAATTTTAAAATATTATCTGTGGTACGTTGAGTGAGGATCAGTTGCTTTAGGTGGAAATGCTATCAAGTGCTTGCTTTTGTTATAAACCTGGGATCTTACAGGGTGCAGTTTAGTGTTGGATCTGATGTGACATGACACCTGAATCCTAGAAATAGCTGATTTCTTTGCTTAAATTGCAGCTGATTATTGGGAGTGGAAAAAGTGGACCATGCAGGGGATTTTGTCTGAGATGTTTCTTGCCATACACAAATCTCAGCCTGCCTTTGTATGAAATAAGACTTTCTTTTGTATTTTTCAGCTGTCTATTGGGTGTCAAACAATACCTCCTGATAGTCTGTAAAAATCTCAGTCCTCAAAGGCTTTTTAATCCTGCGCTGTGCCATTAGGCAAAAATCAGCACTGGAGGGGTTTTGCAGAGTCTCCTTGTGTGATGTAGACTCTGTCTTAGCATGACATTAGAGGAGAATTAAACTGCTCTTACAAGCAAGATCAGATTCCCAAGTCTGTTAATGAATTCAACTTTTCTAGACACTTTTTTTTGAAAGCCTGGAAAAATGAATGCTGGTATTGTGCTGAGTGTTTCCCAAACCCTAGAATGCATGGCCTATGCCATCCTGCCATCTGACCTAATTCAGGGTCACAGAGGGCCTGAATTTGAGATGCTTGGAGTGTGACTGAAGCAGCTCCAACTGATATTTGAGGGGAGCTCCTTAAGCGTGTAATAGAAATCTAGCCTAAGGTTGGGTGTACAGAAATCAGAGCTCAGTCTCCCACTGTCCATGGTTTTGAGAGCACTTAATATTCATCTGAGGTATAGGAGTGGAGTCCTCCCCAGTGCAGAGTTGTATTTATATTTTTTCCCCTGCTCTGTCCATTGCCATCTAGCCTGTGTCTCAGGTCAGAGGGATCAGGTTGGGGTTTTCAGAGTTGCAGTCCTGTGTTAGATGGGGCTTTCAGGCATCCCACTGTCTTGTAGCAGATCTTTGACCCCCTTGGCAGACTCTTGGATATGTGGTCAAAATGTATCTGCCATTGAAGACAATCCAGAGGAGATGTTGTTTGAAAGAAAAAATAGAAAGGTACTGTTTGACCTTATGAATGTGTAGCTGTCTGACTTAATGAGGACAGCAAATAGGCTTTTTGTGCCCATTCCAAAAGTAAAAACATTAATCCTGGTGCCTAAGAATCTGGCATTGTAATTCACAGACAGGAGAGGAAAAATAGACTTGAAAGTCAGGAAGAGGATGGGATACAGCTGGTGAAATGAGGACTCGCTAGTTGTACCTTGCATCCCAGAGTATCTGTGTTGTCACACTTGAGTGTGGAGGAATAATGGAGGAGGTGGCCTAAGGAAAAACTCAAGCATAGACTGGCATAATTAGCACAACAGGATGGGGCTATGAAGAAATTATGCAGAGTGTGACTGTGTTGACATCTCCATTGAGAAAAGCCGATAAGGTTTTGTATCTTGCCAGTTGCAGTTCTGTGTTCCCACTCTCCAGTTCCTCTGGCTGAGGGCCACAGCTGCTGTCTGTGCCTGCATTCCCTCTGAGCAGTGAGGATCTGGATAGCCCTGGTGGGCTCCAGCTACATGTGGCACCTCAGAGTTGCCCAGTGAGGGAGATCTGCTGCTCTGAGATCCTGTGATACTGAGTGAGGCTCTGTTTAATCACTTGAGGGAAACTGTAGGCTGTAACAGCTTGTGCAAATCTGCTCCTAATCAATTGTTTTAGTGGGCTAGTTGCAACAAGCTGGGTGAAGGATGGCACTTTCCTTCTCACATGAGATCTCTTGGTTTGGAATTCCTCCCACTCCCAATTGTAATACTCAGCAGACACTCGTTTCTTTGATTGTTTTGATTCTGATAGTTGTTTACTTCACACTACCATATTGCTACTTGTATTGCATTATCTGTGGGATGTTTGATGTGTCTATCTCATGTCCTTGTCCAGATGTATTGCTATTAGATGCCAGATCTACTGCCCTCTGTGCTAAGCTGCAACCAGAATGGCAAAATACAGGCTCGTTCTCCTAAGACATGGGGAAGGAGCCTGGACCAAGGAGAATCGCTTCTGCAGCTGGGTGGACCAGAAGCTGAGCAGCGATGGGATACAGGAAGCTCAGAACTGTGGCAAACACCTCAAAGCGCTGGGCTTCGAGTTCGACCTCGTCTTCACCTCCGTGCTGAGCCGCTCCATCCAGACTGCCTGGCTGATCCTGGAGGAGATGGGCCAGGAGTGGGTCCCCATTCAGAGCTCCTGGAGGCTGAATGAGCGCCACTACGGAGCGCTGATCGGGCTCAACAGAGCAGAGATGGCGCTGAATCACGGCGAGGAGCAAGTGAAAATCTGGAGGAGAAGCTACGATGTTACCCCGCCTCCCATCTCTGAATCTCACCCCTACTACGCAGAGATCTACAATGACCGCCGCTACAAATGCAGTGATGTCTCTCAGGAGAATCTCCCAAAGGCTGAAAGTCTCAAAGATGTGCTTGATAGACTCCTTCCCTACTGGAATGAAAAGATAGTGCCAGAACTGAAAAGTGGCAAAATGATTCTTATCTCTGCTCATGGCAACAGCAGCAGGGCATTGCTGAAGCATGTGGAAGGTAAGGGCCTTCATTTTAGCCTTCTCCTTTCCTCCTTACTCAGTGGCTTGGAGCTTTATGTTTTGTTCTGTAGTGTACATTGCTTACCTGGGCAAGGTAAGAATGTCTGTGGTCTCCAAGGAGGAAGTAGAATGTTGGTCAAGGAAGCAAACTGGGAGATGTGGAAAGGGGAGAGAATTGGTTAGGTTGGTGTAGTTAAGGAAAGGGCAAAATGCTTTCATTTTATTTCTCGTTAATTTAAAACTGCTGTATTCAAACAAAATTTCTGTTTGGTTTAGATAGACAAAAACTCTACAGACTCACATTATTTTTGTTTTTTTTCAGCTGCTTTGTCAGGTTTGTGATAATCATCTCTTAATTAAAAAAAAACATTGCTGTAACACAGCAGAATAAAAGTGCTTGGCTTGGGATGTGGAAGATGTTCTTATTACTTCAGTGGGTCACCCTGATAATTTCACTTAAAAGTTAAGTGACAGAGTTCTGCAGAGAATGGGCACTTGCTGGAGCTTGTGCAAATATTGCACTATATCCCAATATAGAAAATGCATCCCAATAAATAGCCAAGTTGGTGGCTTAGCATAAGTTTGTTTTTTTACCACAGAATGGTTTGTGTTGGGAGATCGCTTTTACAGGCCATCTAGTCCAGTCCCTGTGCAATGAGCAGGGACATTTTCAACTAGATCAGGTTGTTAATAGTCCTGTTCAGCTTGGCCTTGAATGTTTCCAGGAATGGGATATCTGCTGCCTCTTTGGGCAACATGTTCCAGTGTTATACCAGCCTCATCACAGAAATTTTCTTCTGTATATCTAGTCTGAAAGCATCTTCTTTTAGTTTAAAACCATTATCCCTTGTTCTATTGCAACAGGCCCTGCTAAAAAGTCTGTTTCCATCTTTCTTAGAGGCCCTCTGGAACCTTCTCTTCCCCAAGCTGAGCAGCCCCAGCTTAGTCTTTCCTCACAGGAGATGTGCTCCATCCCTCTGTTTGTTTTTGTGGCCCTCCTCTGGTCCTGTTGCAGCAAGTCTTACCTGGGCTGAAAATCCCAGAACTGGTCTTGAAAATGACTTATTTGGGACTTTATAATAAAAAACATCCTTTTCATTGATAGATTCTTCCCTTCCTTCCTCTTTCATCTCCTGGCTTCTAGGCCATCCTAAACTATATTAATTTCTTTGTGGGTAGAGCAGAATTCAGTGATTATATATATGTGTGAATGCAGCCTACTATAGTTGTAGTCACAAATATGCGCAGACTGGATTGTGTCCACTCGGGGTGGGTTATTTTAGTTATAAAGTCCTCTGCTCTGTGGCTATGCCTGCTGATTACTTTTTGCATTTGGCCATACTGGAACAGTCAAGATATCAGGAGTCTGAAGCCTGTGAAATGAGAAATGAGCAGGTACAAATGGATTCTGGCACTAGAGAGGCTGTGAATCCCGGGGTACAGATCACGGCTGGATGAAGGAGGAAGGGCTGGTTGAGTCTGTTCCGTGATGTGGTCAGAGTGGTCATTCACACTGTGTGAAATGATAAAGAAAAAAGGGGAAGAGGGGTCTGCAGCTGTGGTGACTCCCCTGCCTCCCAAGAACTGATTTAGCTCCATGAAACCATGCTGGCCAAGCCCTTTGGGGATGAAATGGTGACAACTGAAAGTAGGTTCCAGCAGAGATCCTGGGCCACCTTCTGTGCAGGCCTGCTACAGGGGCTGGCAGCCTCAGGGGCTGGGGAGGGTTGCTTTGGAGTTAGCATGGCTGGATTTCTCGCTGCACTGAGATCAGGGAGGAGCAGTACTGCAGAACTTTTCTTTGGGACAATTGCTAACTCTGTGTAGCTCTTCCAGGACTGCCCACTACACTCTAGGTGTAGTAAAGCTGTCCTTTGTCTTGCAGTATGCCTTCACCCTCCCAACATATGCTTGCACAGGGAAGTGGGAGCAATCCTTGTCAGAGGATCTGGTTCTGTTGACCAGGGACCATTTGGGGGCTACCCCAGCTCCCACACAGGAGCTACTGGCAGGTACCTGCTTTGCTCCCCTAGCCTTTATGTGGTGGAGAACGGATTTCTGAATAGGTGGCTTGGAGGGTAGCATGGACAGACCCTTGAGAACCCTGGTGTTACAATCTGCCTTTATTTTGTTTTTGCTTTTTTTTTTCCCTCTGTCTAAATCTAGCTGGATCTAAGGGGTTCCTTGTCTGCATTGCTGACTGGTTCTCCCTTTCTCTGTTGGAATGTTGTGAGTTGCTCTGGAACCCTGCTAGAGTTGGGCCTGATTCAACAGTGCTTAAACTTTGCCAGTCTCCTGTATTTAAAACACCCACTGTGAGATGGGCTGTGTTTTTGTGGATTTTTCTTTTTTATAAGCTTAGTGTGTCCAGCACTTGAATGGAGTTTTTTAAGCCCCTCCAGCTTAGCTGGAACCCTTTTTTTTTTTTTTTTTTTTTTTTTTTTTTTTTTTTTTTTTTTTTTTTTTTTTTTTTTCCTTGGCATTTTGAAAACTGGGTTCCAAATGCCTCAAGCAGCAATCTTTTATGGCTGCTTGGATGTCTTAGTCATGGTGTTAACTTGATCTTGGAAGACGTAGATCAAACTTTAAATGGCAGGAAATATAAATGTTTTCATTCAGTTGGATCTGATGAAACAGTTCTAATTGTTTTAGTGATAATTTGATTTTTTTTCCTAAAATACGATGGACTATCCCTTGAAGTTACTATTTCAAGGAGGTATTTTCTTGAAACAGTACTGCAATTCTCTGAATCTGTGTTTTCCTTGTTCTGAGTAATTAGTAAAGAGTTGGAAATGTAGTTCTGCTTTCTACTTGCATGCAATCATTGGAGCAACAGTATCATGCTCAAAAGGCTTTGGTTGTGGGTTAGGATTTTATTCTTGTTTTCTCATTGCACAAAGTGGACCTCATTAAAGTGTATGAAATATCTGTAGAATCTGTCATGCTAAATGAGTATCCTGGATCTATTTGCAGATGTTTTTTTCTCAGTTCTTTGGGGGAGGATAGTTTTCTCTTTATCTAACAACCAGTGCTTTGTATTGAACCCTCTTGACAGTGTCCCTTCATGAAGATATTAGTGTAATATTTGTGATCACCTTGCCCCATTTCTGTTGAAGTGCTGGTTGGAGACCAAGTCCAATGGACTGATTTACCAGATGAAGGATTGGTGGTCTGTCTCAACTTCTCTTTCTTCCCAGCTATTTAACCTTGGGCACTGGTGTCAAGTACCTCAAGACAGGGGTTTGTGGAATGCCTGATTCTAGAATTTCCAAAAGTATTCCTTAGTTTACATGCTGGAGCTGCACATTGTGACACCTGGTGTGGATTGTGTGTTGAGGGCTTCTTAATAAGATTATTTCACTGATTTTGCTGCCTAGCCTTCTTAAGGAAATACTGCTTATGTGAGTGTGGTGTTGTGAGTGCAGTTGCAGGAAACAACTTGAGATCTAACAACTCAGTTGTCTTGAAATGAGATGGTCTGGCTCTCCCTGTAATTTCCCCCAGTCTTTGCTCAGTGCTTCTGCTGCTTATTTCTTGTGATCTTGCTGGGCCTTATTGCAAATTACCTTGGCCTGTGTTTTGGCCACTGCTAAGCAGTGCTCCCACAGCATCAGGAATGTCTCTCCAACATTGACCCCAGATGGGTTGGGGTTGGGCAAGCTCTTGGGAGGGGATGTAGCCAGGAGAGCTGACCCAAACTGACCAAAGGGATATTCCTTAGCCCTTATGAAGTCTGCTCAGCAGTAAAAGCTAAGAGAAAGGGGGGAAGGGCATTTATGATGACATGGAAGCAATAGCTCTGCACACTGAAGCCCTGATTAGTGGCAAGTGATTAGATTGCCTGCTGGTGGGAAGTAGAAAATAAATCCTTTGTTTTCCTTTGATTCTCTGCTTGGCCTCTACTTGTGCTTTAGTAAACTGCCTTTATCTTGACTCACAAGTTATTTTTGCTTCTTTTCTCCCAACCCATTGTGCTGAGGTGGGGGAGTGACAGAGCAGCTTGGGGGGCACTTGGTGTCCAGCCAAGGCCAACCCACCATAGTTCTTTTTTGGTAGCCCCCTACTACTAAAGCCTGGCTGTGCAAACCTAATACAGACAGAAAGTTTTGGCAGACACGAGTGAAACAAATGTAAATGATATACTGCAACCGTGATTGTAGACCACCCATCTTTCTTACCTTAAAATTTACACAGCAAGGTAATATTCTGTCCAGATCAGAAACCAGATTATAACACTGTACTTGTTTCCCTCTTCTGCCCTGTTGAAGTTAGATCTTCTGTCAGCCTTCAGGGAGGGCAGAAAGTTGATCTAAATATTTACCTTACTAGGCTAAAGCTTTAGTATTTCCCTTAAGCATATGGGATGCTATGACCTGATTTAGAACTCAATTACAAAGCACCAGTATTAAACAAGCTTTTGAGGCTGAGTTTATGCATCTGATCTTGTGGATGATCTTTTATTGGATGAATCATCTGGCCTCAAGTGCAGTTGACATGCAGAGAGGAGGGCTGTTGTTATTCTCAATAGCTCTTGTAGGTTTGGGGTTCCTCTAACCATAAGAATAGGAGGGAGTAACTTGGTAAGAGGTGAGAGGGAAGGGGAAGCTGAACTAGCCTCCCTGAAAGGGCTGTAGGTGCTCAAAATCAGTGGGGTTTGTCTCTGTAGGGCTTTGTAAGGTCCAAAGATTCAAAACACTCCATGGGCTACCACATGAAGGTGAATTCTTAAGCTTGCCTGGAGATATTTCCAATTTGTGTGTTTGGTTACGCAGTTTGGTTAAACAGTGGATAAATGAGCTGGGGAGGAATTTTAAATGTGATTTTGAAAGGTCTCTTTTATAATAACTGCTATACCAAGTTACTGCAGCGTTCCTGTACCTTAGTGCTTCCTGCTGTGCAGGTGAGGAACAGTGTTCTCAGGACAGAGCATGGGAGATGGCCACTTGAGGAGTGCAGTTGCCTGGTCAACATTTTATCTGGGCTCCTCAGGAAGTCATCCTGAGTACTTCACTAATGCCTGTGGATTCTCACAACTGTAAGTAAGTAAGATCTGGGTTTTAAACCCTCTTGGGTAAAAGCTGCTTCCAGCAGCAAGGTATTTCAGCAGTGCTGAGACCCAGGCTTTGGTGTTAAACTGGAGGGAAGCATGTTGTTTCTTCAGTGATCTTATTTACCATTGCACCTTGGATTCAGCAGTTGAGATCTTGCCCTGATTTCACCCTTCTTCCCTGTGCCCTAGGCTGGGTTGTGACTCAGGCCAGCTCGGATGGAGCTCAGGAAAAGGTCAGCTAGTTCTAGTTACAGTACATGGAGTAACTGCATAGCAGTTAGCTCACACTGCAGCCATTGCTGCTGCAGGGTGTGATCCCTTTGCTGTCCTCCTGGCCTGCTGGCTGGAGAGTGTTCTGTGGTGAGCTCTCCTGCAACCGAAGAGCTTGTGTGACCAGCCTGCTCAGCTTCTTGCTTCCTGGAGAACAGAAATGCTATATACAGCAACAGGACACTGTTGTTTCTTTAGGATTTTCATCTGACTTCAGCTTGCATTTCCGGACTTCTGGCTGTGGGGCAGCAGTTCTGTATGAGGAAAACTCCTGAGGAGAAAACCATCATGCTTGCTGCTGTGTGTTTATCCTAGACTGCACTATTTTGCTTTGTAAATCAATACTAGTTGACATTGTGGTTGCTTTGTGTTCTGTAAAAACAGTAAAATGCATTTCCGAATCCATGTAGCTACAGCTAGTTTTGTTTAATCCATCTCCAGAGGAAACTTTCAAATATCACGTCTCCTGACCGCATTATGTGGTTTGCCTAAACTCTCCTGCATGACTTCATCTGCTCTGTGTGTATATGAATGGCTTAGTCTGGGAGACCAAACTTAGGAGGTGGTCAGAACTCTTCCTAGACAGGGATTCTCTGGGAATATCCACGGTGATGTGGGTGTTGTTAAAATCTAATTCTTAAGAATCGTTGAAATAAGAGCTCAGGCAGCTTGGCTGCCTGTTTTGCAAACAAAGTCCTTGAGAACAGTACTTGTGCCTAGTGAACGGATGCAGTATTTTTCCCATACATTTCTGTGCCATTTTTAAATTTTAGGTATTCTTTGAGTTTTTTTTCCCTGTAGGTCTGATTCTGTGGCGTACACCAGTGAGTTATTTGTCCCTTGTATGCAAGAATTGCTTCAGCTCTCTGAGTGTGCCTTGTTTCAATGGACTGATGCTCAATATGTAACAAGGTGTAAGTTCTTTGCCAAGGCTTGTTTCTGGTGCTCCATGCCCTTCTGAAACTTAGGACCCACCCAAGTGCTGAGCATGAAGCAAGACTAGGTCACTGCAAAAATTGGGTGCTGGTATAGTCTCTGGGCAGGGACATATCATCCTCACCTCATGAACAGTTCTGTTTTTTCTGGCCTGTTGTCACCCCACTGTTGCCGAGTTGCTTGACTCGTGTGCGTTTTCCTGTTAATGTGATAGCTCTGCTTTTCTATGTAATGTGAAAATCTCTGGTAAATTTACACCCATGTGTTCTGAGGACCATCTGTTTTGTCAGCTGCTCCAGGAGGATGTTTGCTTGGTGCACCTTGGTCTAGTTCATATGGTGTCATCACTTCAGAAGCTTGGTTGTGTGCATTTTCTGAGTGAATTACTCAAAGTTGCCCTGCTTCATAATAGCAGGCTGCTGCTGGGACCTCAGTACTTCTAAAAAGTGGGGTGTGGGGGGAAGGAAATCTTGACATTCCCATTGACACTGGCTTTCTTTAGCCTGATTTTTTTTTTTTTTTTTTTTTTTTTTTTTTTAGGGATAATGTCTTTGCAGTCACTGCTTTTAATGCATTTATTTGGACTTTGTGTGGAAACTTTAGTAGCATGTTTGGTTTTGAAATTCACTTGGAAGCTTTGGATGTGCGTTCGATGTGAAAATAAGCAGCAATTTCATTGAGATGAGAGCCCAGAATATTTTAATTACACATCTGCATAACATTAATATTGTTTCCAGGTACACATTCCTTTAGTTAAATGAAAAAAAGAAGAATGCTCCAAGCTGTACAAGTTGACTTTCTGCCTCCTTTTTCCTCCCTTCATTTGAAAATGGTAATGAATATCTTGTATGTAGGAAGTCTGAGAACAGTACTGTGGACCCTGCTGTAAACTTGCTTGTGAGAAATCAGACATGTGCAAAGAGTGAGTCTCACACAAGTAGAATTAAATACTCATTTTTGTGACAGTTGGTGTGATAAGAGTTGCCCAAAAAAATTAAGAGAAAAACTAACCTTGTTGTCCTGCCTCTTTAAAGAGTACTGGCTGTGTAGCAGAGGTTGTTTCATGTTGGAGTAGCACGTGTGGGCTCCCATCTTTTGTGATGTGTGAGTTGGGAAATTATGGAGAGGAACCTATTGTACTACATGTCCTGTTTTAAAGGAACAGTGTAGTCTCCAGGGCAGTCTCTTCCTGTTTATTTCACACGTGTAGGCTGAAAAAGTGAAGGAACTGTCTTCACCTTGATGGGAATTCTCTCCTTCAGCTGTTCCTAAAGGACTTGCCAAGCTGTGGCCTAGCTGGGAGTTGACCCTTGAGTGGCTGGTGATGTTGATGGAGGCTGGAACATATCTTTGACTGTTTTAAGACTAGGTAACCTCAGAAAAAAGGTAGTAGGCAATGAGGAAGCTGAAGGTGTAACTCTGTTTTGTTTTTCTTTGGCAGGCATCTCTGATGAGGATATCATCAATGTCACCCTCCCCACTGGTGTGCCCATACTTCTTGAACTTGATGAGAATTTGCACCCTCTGGGCCCTCACCAGTTTCTGGGTGATCAAGAAGCTATCCAAGCTGCCATCAAAAAAGTGGAAGATCAAGGGAAAGTAAAATCTGCTGAGAAGTTAAATCCCAGTGTCTAACTGTGTTCAGTGTGGTAGTAAGTGATGATGTGTGTATGACTGCTAGGTTGCACTGTGTGAATGTCTCAATTTCAAGCACTAAATAATTGGAAGGGATACTTGTTGAGTCACAGGTTGGTAGTTTAATCCTCTGCCTTTTCAAAAACTGGAATTTAGATTGCAGCTTGAGGTTTTCAAAACTGGAAAAGGAAGAGATGATTCAGGTAATGGAAACTTGCAGGGCAGTCTGCCCCAGATCCACCACTGAGGATGGCCCAGTAGAGAAATAAAGGGATGTGTTATTGGTGTCTACTAACAATCAGTTGTAATCTGTTAAGGAGAAAAGCACCAGCTTACTGGACTAACTTAAGTCCAGGATGTAATAGGCACTAAAACTGTCACTGATAAAATGGAACCAGATAACAGTGTTACCAACTATGATTTTTCTGTGCCACAGTAGCTGTGTCAATTTGTTCTCAGTGGATTTCCTTCAGTCTTTTAGAACACCTTCAGCCGGTCAACTCTCTGTCTGTGTTATTTTGAGTCTTCTGTGGCCAGTTCATGGTCCAGAGAATTTTGTAGAGGTGTTCTGACTACTGAAGTTATCATAGTTATCTTTTTTTACACTGTGTTGGGTTTTTAAGGAATCGAGATGGAATCCCTTTTCCTCCACCATCTTTGCAAAGCCTAGTGTCACTGCATTTTGCTGGCTTGCAGTAATAGGATTTAAATCAGACTTTAGTCCACAAAAGAAGCACAAAGCTTTTCTGCTCAATGTTTAAGTTATCGTGTAGCTCCTAGTGAGGGACCTGAATACTTCTGAAACACTTTGGTAATGTGTACTAGAGGTTTCATCACCCCTTAGTCAAGTTGATAAATAATCCCTGCTCACCTCAGCAAAAATGACATACAAAATACCCCTCTAAGCTTTCCTGAGTTGCAAAGGTATCTTGATAAATGTGTTCCACTGTAACATAACTGTGGCATTATCTGTATCAAATTCTCTGAAGGGCTGGGAGAGATGCATGCATCAGAAGTGTTGCTGGGTGCAGCTCGTTCAGCCATCCTGCTGGTAAGGAAAGATATTCTGCCATGCCTGAAAGAGTTCTCCTGTAAACTCTCCTCGCAGTCATAGCTTGGTTCCTGCTGAGTGTGGCCTTGCTGCTGTTTGGCACTGGACTTGACAAGTTCACCCTGTGCTTGGATGCAGTGTAGCAGGTGTGGCAGCCTGGTGTTCTCTTTATGTACACGGGCACCAGGGTAATTCCACTTTTGAGGATTTGCTCTTATTCTTGCCTGCAAATATGAAACTGCTAGAAAGTTTATATCTGACCCACTGTCTCAACACATGAGCATCTGATTCTGACCTTGGATATCAACCTGGGTGACACTTGTGTGTGTGCTGCTTGAACTGAATATGTTCTCAGCATGGCCTAGCTACAAATCTCAGTTTTGATGGGAATTTCCTTGATATGAGTATAAAATTTTAAAATCCTAGAGGAGCTGCTGCTTTGCAGTGAGCAGCTCTGTAGCTTGCTTTTGTGAGAAGATTTTTTTTTTCCTTTGAAGAGAGCAGTGTGACAGTGTGGTGTGCCTCTGACAGTCTTGCTGACGTGTGGAGCAAGACTTTGCAAGTCTGATGCCAGCTCACATTAGAGTAGCACATATTCCATAAAAGACTTCTTGCTAGAAGGTAGTTTCGCATGCATGAATGGTGCTTGGGCTTATCTTTGGTTTTGTTTTTGTAGCCCTTGCAGTAGGAACAAAGTTACATATTTCTCAGTTAAACATAAAGCTGGTAGGTTTCCTCTTTCTTTGTACAAGAGACATATTTCAGAGTTTTTTGGTTGTTTTGGTTTTTATCCTCTGAAATGCTAATAGCAGCTTCTCTGATACTTGATTTGATACTGACTTAGTTTCTGGGGTTTTAGTTTCTGTGCTTAGAGTAACTCTGAATCTTAGTTGATAGTTTACAAGTTAGTGTTAGATTGCTGATCAGCAAATGTTCACCTGAAAACCCTGAGAAGGGTCACTGGCACTGGAGTGAGTAAATTCTTCCCCAGACATTAAATAATGTGTGAAGCTTAATATCAAGTAAATGTTACTGTAGTCTTGTAAACAAGACTAGCAGAGCCACCTGTCGCCAGTGGGAACTGTGTGCATCCAGGTGTGGGATTGTAATGTAGAACTTCTTCAGAATGTGACATGCAGCTGCAATATCCTTGGAAATTAACCCAGCTGAACTGGGAGACAGGCTCTCTCCTCCTCTTAGAATCCATCATCTCTTCTGTGGGTGGAGAGAGGAACGGAAAGGTAGATGAGGGAATTCAGGGAGCATTAATTGCAGCTGAATGGGTGAAAGTGACTGAAGTCCTCCTTTGACTCATGGACAGGAAGAAGAGAACACCAGTGTGATGTTTGCAGGAGGTGCTGTTCCTACAGTGCTTCTTGAGATGTGAACAGTGACAGTGCTCTGGGAAGTTTGGCTTAGTTTGCTTGGATTGTGGCTCCAAAGTGATGACAGGATTTTATGTGCACATCTGGCAGCAATAACACCTCACAAAAGTATCAAATGGAACCAACTGGGGATTTCATTCTGCTCTTTAGGGTTATTTTAATGCCTTGCAAGTCTGAGTAACCTTTTATTTAAAATCCTGATGCATAAGCCATGTCTATTGAAGAACAGACACCAAGTTCCAAGGTGTCAGACAAGATCTTCAGGCATAACTACATCAGAGGGAGAAATGAGAATCTTGCTTTAGAGGTCAGTGGTTGGGAAACATTCTTCCCTATGTTTGAGTGTGCCTCAAGGTCCTATAAGGTAAATGGTGTTTTTACAGTTAATCTAATGGATGTGGTTGATTTGGTTTGTTTTATACATTTTTAACATGTGGTTCAGTAGCAGTAATAGCTCTAGATCCTCTTGAAAACCTTTGTAAATATGGTGGAGCTGGCAAATTCTTTAAAACTCAATAAATTCACCTGATATAGAATTCATTTTGGCTTCAGTCTTTTTTTTTTTTTTTTTCCTTCTACTCCTATCCCCTTTGTTTCCTTTTCAGGGCTGATAAGTAAATAAAACTGACCTTCAGGATTCTGAAACTTCTTAAACAGTTTATCACACATCATGCAGTCAATTGGGTTAAAAATAGTGCTGGAGCTAACACTTCCTTGTGTTTACATGTAAAGAAGCTGTGTTGGAGGGAATACATATCCCTTCAAAACTATGGGGCCATTTACTTAGGAACAAGGAACTTTACTTCCAGAAGAGTGGATCTAAACAAATGCTTACTGATTCTCATGCTTGCTTTTCCTTTTAGTAAGAAGCATTACTTTTTGTAATGTTGGTGTGTTTAAAGCTGTGACTTCTGGAGACAAAGCCAACCCTTTCACTCTCCACTTTATGCCAAGTAGAGTTGGAGCTCCAATGACAAGCACATAGAACTGCAAACCTGTTGACCTTCATACAGAAAGCCTTGGATGCCGGGGTAATGGGAGGCAGTATAAAAGTCCTAAGAAAAGTTAAGACATTCAGATAGAAGTGGGGAAGACACAGCTGTGGAGCTTAAAAATAAAAGCATACTAAAGAAACAGACTTTTTAAAACTTGGTCTTGTGATTGTGTTGAGGTTGAGTGGGGAATGGAACAGACCTTTCTGAACCATTTGTGTACTGATGCTTATAATTTTGCTTATAATATTGTGGCACTACTGCCAACCAGTTCAAAATTCTATTGGTATTTTATTGTGTAATCCCTCCCTTTCCCCCAGTCACTTTTTGTACTTTGCTATAGTAACACCTCACATTGTTCAGAGCCATGTCCACTGTTTCCTGTGTTGGGAAAAGACCATCTGAAGACCAGGTTGGTTTCAATCTGCCATACTTTTGTGCCAAGGACTTTGCTATGAACCTGCTCTGCACAGCCTGAGGAAAGACTTGACTCTAGCCACATTTTCAGAATTTTAACTTTGCTTTTCTTCTTTCTCTTTTTTTTTTTTTTTTCTTTTGTTTTTAGTTTGTGGAGAGTGCTCATTCTCCAAGTTCACAATAAATGACACTTACCTTGTCTGTCTTCTCTGCTGGCCTCAGCCTTAAATTCCTATGGGCAGGAGAGGAAGTTGATGTGACAACTGCTGCTCAAGGAAGCTCAGAGCTGTTGTGGGAACTGACTAATGATTCAAGTAGAGGGTGCAGAAGGGTTTGGGATCTCTTTGACAGCTGTGCTGAACAGGTGTTGCTGCCTCTTCCTTGTTTTTAGGTGGCCAGAGGCTTTGGGTGTGGGTGAATACAAGAGGGAACTTCAGCTTAGCACAGAGAGAAGGGTGGCTGTGGCATGGCCAGGCACTACTTTGCTGCCATCTTTCAGGTTGGTCATGCCTGCCCGTGAGGAGCAAATGGTGCAACTGAATACACTTATGGAGCACCCTGCTGCTGCCCAAGCTGTTCAGTGCAAGTGCCCGTTTCTTTCAGCAAAATCCTTTTTTTTTCCTGCTTCTTCCTGGTGATAATCTAGCAGAAGAGCTGGAAAGTAGGAATGTGCATGTGCTACTAATCACTAACCTAGACTGAGGATTCCTTGCTGAGTAACTCCCCAGTGAATCCTTCTTTCCTGATAGATACTTCCTAGGCTCTCAGTAACTACTGTGATTAAAGCTGAGCTGGACCTCTAAGAGCTGTGGTTCTTCAGCTGCTCCTGAACTGCAGGTTGTTTTTTTCCAGAATCTCTATGGAAGGCAGCGATACTGGCTGTGTTAGGAGTGGGAAAGCAGGCATAAAGATCCCTGAGTATCCCTGAAGGCAAAGCAATTGCAGAAATTGCAGCTGCAGATGGACTTGTAGAAAAGCAAGTGGACAGCAGGTGGAGCAAGTGCATTGTGGTGAAGTATGCACAGGGAAAGGGGTGGATTTTACACTCCTGTGTGCACATGGGGACAGCGAGGTGTCATCAGCTTCTCCTGAGAGGCAGCACATTTTATCTCACAGCCAGAAATGCCCTGTGGTGTAACAAGTGGTGTGAGGGTGGGTTGATTCTGCTGGGGAATAAGTTGCATTCATCATCCAGGGTTGCTTGTGCAGATTAGTCCTACTTTAGTCCAACATCAGCGGCTTCACCAGATCAATCAGTGCTGCATGAGAAAATGTGCTCAGCAGTGAGCAAATGTCAAATCAAAAAGAACATTAATTGGAAGGTGCCTTGGATTTCAGGCATCTGATTTCAGATACTCTTGTAATAATTTTTTCCAAGGGCTCTCTTTTCTCTCCCTGTCAGAATCTGTGGAAATTTATAAGCATTTTGCATGTGTGCTGTCCAATTGAGCTTTGAGAAAAAAAAAAGTTCAGACCCCCCCTTACACCTTGTCATATCTTGAAATATGTGGTCTGATGTAAGTTATCCAAGCAGAGTGAGTCTGTAGGTGTAGCTGATAGAAAATGACTCCTGCAAAATAAATTTTAATTCTTGTTCTGCAACCTTCCCTAACACATTAGTGTGAAAAGTCCTTGTTAGAGATGCAAAACCCATGAGCTTTCTTTTTGCACTTGATTTATATTTCAACTCATATCTCTAAAGGAATTTTCTGAGTAACATACACATTTCAGTTTCATGAGATGTTGTGGGAACAGATATGTAATTTTTGTTGGACAATAGCAAAACAGAATAAACTTTCCCAGACCTCATTTTTTAAGGTGAAAGCTTTAGGAGACCCTACAGAAATGAAAAGTACTTTGTTTCAATACTGGAAATCTTATATTCTGTGCTTTCCCTTCTGTGTGGTTGGCTCGAGTGTTTCCCAGAGCCAGAAATACCTCATTTTAACTAGCACTAATACTTTATATCCTATTGTCCTCTAATTCCTTATTTAGCTTCTCTGCCCTTCCCTTCTGATACCTTACAACTCAAATTCCACAGGAGCTGGGATTTTGGTCCTTTTTTCTTAGCTTGGAAAGCATGAGTCAGATTTAGTCCGAATCCACCAGCAATACTGACATCTTTGTTCAGAACAAAGAAAAAAATAATGAACACTGGCAAGTGCCAAAATGGTTTCCATAGAAAGCTGCTGTCTGCACAAAGGAAACAAATGCCAGTGGCTAAAACCTCTTGTGGTCCTTCATGTTTGTTTGGGGGCAAGAGTTATCACTTGGCTCTGGGTGATGCCTTTGGCTACTGTGTTTCTCACATCTTCTCAAGTTTGTGGATTTTTTCCCCTGTCCCCTGATGTGGCCCTGCCCTAAACTTCTCCATCCAACCACAAAGTACTCTCCAGGTGCTCCCACAGCCTTCTTCCATGACACCTTCCTCCATGGTGTGTCCTGCCAGCTTCAGGCTGCTTATCAGAGGTGCTTAGATGGGGGGAGACAGGGTCAAAGGAAAAGGTTTGGGAGGGAGATACATCTGAAAAAGCCTGAGAACTGCTGTGCTGAGGTATGAATTTCCAGCTGGATCACATTTTCTATTTTACAGTCCTGTCTGCATTCCAACGATGCACAGGGGAAAATGAGGATTTTTATATTTCAGTTGGAAAAAGCCACCCACGTGAGAGAAACACTGAGTGACCTGTTTTCCTCTTAATAATTTTTATCTGCTTGTTCTGTTCTCTGTTCCTGCAGTGAAGCTCTCTCCCACCATGATGCCCAGCAGTTTTTCACAGCTGACAGTGGTGGAACTTGTTGCACAGCAGGATCTGATGGAGGCAGTAGGAAGGCTCTGTGGCCCCAGGGGCTCTTGCAGTGTGTTGTGCATGGGCTCAGCGGTGCTACATGACAAATGACCTTTTACTGCTGTGGCTGGCCAAGGACCAGTGTGTGCCTCCACCACTGCTGCTGAGATCTGTGGTTGTTCATCACCTCATGGATCAGGTCTTTTGTTAATGATACCCCTCCAAAAAAACTTAACAGGCACCGCTTGAGGTGAATTCCTCCAGTGTCCAAGGGTGGCGTGCCACGAATGAAGAAGAATTGGTTGAGTTGACGGATGGAAAAATCGATTACAGAAATATTAGGGGTGCTATATTAGATATGCCTGTATTCCCCAAAGGATCATCTAAAGGCTGTCAAAACACTGGGCAATCTATTTTCCACTTTTGTGTAGCTTTGACTTGGTATTCATGGAGATGAGAAAAAAGGCTCCACAAAGCCTGGTTGTTTGGTCTTGGTTCAGAAGGTGCTTAATAGGTTTGCCTCCTATGTTCCTGTTTTTGAGTGTTATGCACAATAATTTCCACTGAACTCAGCATTTCTGTAAAAGCAGGTCACTTGAAGAGCTGTCTCAACTGGATGCAGATTGTGAATATGTGATTGTGTCCAGCTCTGAGACAGCACAGGGAAAGCAGGCAGTGCCTTTGGCATGCAGGTCCAGCTGCTGGACAAGTGTTCTTCCATTGTGTGTTCAACGTGACAATGGTGACCACAGAACTCCTGACTGAAAACACAATACTGAATTTAGCTCTTTACACTCTCCTTTTGCTGTGTTCACCTTGATTCTTATCACCTGGGATCCTGATCCTTGTTTTCATTGCAGTAAATTGTGGAGGTCCTGCTCTGCAGAGGGAGAGGGCCAGACTCCCCACGAGCTCTTTTTTTCCCCTGGATGCAGAAATAAAGAGCAGGCTTTGAAATGCAACCTTTGTATCTTGTCAGCGTATTTCTTGCAAGATTCCTGGGAGGGCCCTTAACGACAGCAGCCTCCATGGGCAGACAGGAAGAGGGCTAGACATTGCAAAGCATGAATAATCCTGAATTCTAGCCTGGTCATCAACCTAATGGAGCTCTGAGTAATAAAATGAGGTTTCTGGGGGAGCTTGAGATTTCTACCTTACCTTCTATTTACAATAGTTTTGTAAATAAACAGCTTTTTGCATTTTGTCTTTGCAATGTACTTAAAAGATCCATTAGTTTTTAAAATGGAGTTTCCCTGCCTCTTCACTCATGCTACAAGAACTGTAATAAGCATTTATTATGTAAAAACTGTAGAGAGACTAGAGCTTAGATGTCTTCAGTGT